TTGGCACTCAGTCATCTCAGTGTGGTCTGCATGGTAAAACAGGGATTACTGGTGTTGGGAAATGAGAAACTTGTGGTACTGAATCTACAGTGTGAAACACACAATGCCGTTGCATCTCTTTTCCAAATTATTGACTCATAATTTATAGCCTGCCAATGGAGATTAATGAGTCCTTGTTTGTTTTGAAGCCTCTTTTAAAACCTTATTTACATATACTTTGCATTTACAAATTTTAGCATTTCTGTTTGTGCTTTATTATGAGGATTTACAGTTGAAGTCAGAATTATTAGCCCCCCTGTTCATTCTTATTTTTTCGTCCATGTGGACGATTGTAGTAATAAAGCCTAGTGGCTTTGTAAAAATAATGAGCTCAGTCTGAGAAACTCGACATAGTGTTGCTTTCATACTGATTAATTTATCAAACAATATTTGTTTTCAACATGCACTCACTGCATTCAAAAGTAGACACTTCAAGCTTTCTATATATATAGTGTGTGTGTTTTATTTTTGTGGAGTTTCATTTTAGTGATGCGTTTCTAAAAACAGTTTGGGGAGAGACAAAAGAAAGAATGCTCACACTTTATTTTCCTTATTTTGCAAAAGCACACACTTTTGTTATTATTGTGAGTGTACACAAAAACTAGACACCTAACAGATTTGATTAGTGTATAGAGTGGAGTAACTATAACGTCACTTTGTAGGCTAATCGGCTGCTAGCATAAAACTGGTTCCATCGTGAAAACCCCTATAGGATTTTCCTAAAGGCTTTTTGAAGATTGCAAATAATAAGCTCTGTGGTCAAACACTGTTCATTACACTTACATGTTTTGTCCAGCCGAATAATCCTCACATGAAAATACAACTTTGAGCACTTTTGGATCTTAAATGCAAACTCAAGAATTGAAAAGCTAACATTAGGCTATAAACGACTACAGTGACCTCGGGGCGCTCGTTTATGACGTCAGCCCCACCCTGCTACAGACAACATATCAAGCTTATTTTTAGAAATATGCTCCATGACAGAGAGTCAATCTCTCTGTTTATTATATTATAATCCACGGTATTTATGATAAACAAATAAATAAGCAAAAACGTATAGACCTATGTGCCTTTTGGATCATTTTTACGTGGGAAATACATCTGTTTTGCTTTATGGTTGTTCTAAAAGTTTTTAAACTGTGTGTATAAATCTGCCTACATAGTGTTATCATAAGACATATTTTAAAAAGTGTATCGCTTTTGTGCACACAGCCCGCCTACTTAAACAGACGACAGAAATGAGGCGTGAGTAGGAACATGTCTATCAAATGCCTGCAAGTTCCATCATTGACACAGAGCAACATTCAATATTCCTTTTTTGTCACGAAGTACAGCGGAAAGCAGCCTATACAGTCACATATGCCATACATTTCATAAAGGTGTGTAAATACTGCAGTTATGACTGAGTTAAATGTGTTTGGATGAAGAAAAAAAGACGAAAAATCACTTGATCTCGTTAAAATGACAGTTAACATAAAATGTATTTTTACACATTTATTTACACATTTGCATTACTGAGAGCAGGAAAGAGACAGGCTGCACTGGTAAGCAGTATCTTCATAATACTGTTTATTAAAATAAATTATCAACAAATTCATCTGTCTTGACAGCCTTTACAAATTAAGGAATTATCAACACACAATCTGAATTCTCAATTATAATAATACAACAAACTATAAAATACTAATAATGAAAATACCTAAATAACAGACAAATCCAAATGCCCAACGCAAGCTGGCTGCGCTCCAGACCAGTTCAGCTCGATGATGTATGTCTCCGACACCGCCTGTAGTCCCATTTAGCAATTTGATAGCAACTGTCTTTTTCAAAGAAGCATAACCGATTTAAAAAATCAAGACTGTGCTGTAACTGATGTGTTTTATGTCGTAGAACAAAACGTGAAAGTATCTTGAGTTTGTGTTTGCCACGAACCTTATTTAAGCAATTTTACTGAAACCCCATTTAAAAAACCCATTGACTTTGAGACGAGGGAACCGGAACTGCTAAAATGCTAACTCGTTTCTGGGTTTTGCATACAAATTGACGTCATAGTTCCTCCCCTCTATTGCTCTTATTTGTACGATCAAAACTGAAAGTGTCAATTAAGTTGTTTTTTGACGTTATCAGGAGAAGACGTCTCAAACTGTGTATACACAGTCGCCGACCCCTAAATAACCCTAAATAGGTTTATCATTCCTCTTTATGTTTAGCACTTTGCACTTTGTGATTGATTAGTATTTTTTTAAACTCTTTATTTTGTGTTTTTGAATATTATTGTTTAAGGTAAATTATTGGATTACATGTATGCCATCTTTAAAGGTCATTAGATAATTAACATAAAATAGTGTATACATGTAAAATGTTATTTTAGAAATATTTATTATAAATATGAATATTTAGGATATAATTTTTTTTTAATGTTGAAATAGCTTTTATTTTCAATTTTATTTTAAATGTAAATGTGCTTGCCAAGTTCACAAGACTTTATTTATTTGTTTGTTTATTTATTTAGTACTTAACTATTAAGTACTTAAAATATATACGTTAAAGAGATATTTCACCCCCAAAAAAATGAAAATTACTTCATTTGCTCTAAATCTGGTTGCTGGGAGCCTTCAACCTCAATGGTAAAAAAAAATAAAATAAAAATACTATGTTAGTTAATGGATCCCAGCAGCCAGCATTTTTCAAATTATCTCTTTTTGTGTGTGTGTGTGTGTGTGTGTGTGTGTGTGTGTGTGTGTGTGTGTGTGTGTGTGTGTGTGTGTGTGTGTGTGTGTGTGTGTGTGTGTGTGTGTGTGTGTGTGTGTGTGTGTGTGTGTGTGTGTGTGTGTGTGTGTGTGTTTAACAGAAGAACGAAAAATAGGTTTTGAACAAGTGAAGGGTGAGTACAGTAACTGATGAAAAAATATTTATTTTTGGGTGAACTATCTTTTGAATATAATATAGAAGCATGCTCTTTGTCATTTGGAGCAAAACAGGAAACATCCACTTGGTCGTCTTCTTGTCTGTGTACACATTATTTGATTCTAGAGCAGAGGTGCCAAAGTACGCCAATTGTAATCTTTGGTTTGGCAAGCTATCCTATCTGAAAAGAGAAAGAGAATGATTGGGAGTTGGTTGGGGCGAATGACAGAGATCTTGACATTTCTAATTTAATGTATACCCTTTTGTTTCTTTGTTTAATTGAGGAGGTACAAAAAAGCCAACTAAAATTAAATGTTTCATATGATTCAGACTTTTAAAATGTAAATGCTGTCACTTGACAGGGCAATGCAAAAGACATCGGTGAGCAAATCAAGGAAAAGACAGGAGCAGCTTGACTGGTGGATTCAGTATTGAGCTCCAATGTGTTATAAATGTGATTGTTTATGTTTTTAAAGACATGTGAGAGCAGTCAGTATATCCTCAACCTGACATATCTCAGGCTTATCCATCTGTATATCATTTGACGAGCACAGTACAAGCTCCAAAGGTGTATAAGGGATCAAATCGACTGAATAAAGCCTGCCCTGTAAGAAAATTGCTTGTTGAAGTCAGACTATAATCTTGTATCGTCTCATCCAGGATCAGAAACACCTCCAAACAGTACCAAGTGGAAAGAGACTTCCATATATCCACTCCTCCACCACTTTCTCCCTATACAAGATGAACAAATTCAATCAGTCTGACTGTCGATGTTCTCGTCTCTGTAATACTGAGCGCTCTACTGCACGCTAATTCGTTTAATTAAAAGAAGAGCACTTAATCTAGAAAGTTAATCTGCTGGCACTTAGCTGATGCAAGGTGTAGTATGAGTGTATGGATGAGAAACGGGACAAAACAAACATGTGCTGAAAGCTAAAATGTGCACCCATACAAAAGGTATTGATTCATGAGCATGTTGCATTGCACTTTATATTACAGTATGTACATTTATCGGCACTTTATTAGGTACACCTGTCCAACTGCTCGTTCGGACAGCAGTTAGGAGCAGGTTAATTGTAGAAGTTATTGTAATTATTTTGAAAAATACATAGTATATACACAAAGAACTGGACTATAATAATAAAATGCTGCTGCATGCCTTACTTGGCAACACCGATGTCTAATGTCTCACATTCACTGCTGTAACTGATATGTATTGTAATCAAATAACCCTCATTATGTACTTTGACCTTTCTGAGCAATCACATTAGAGATGGTGTGGCTGAAGCGCGTGCGATTGCATTGTCTGTTTACGAATGTGTCATAGTTCTCTTTTCACTCATCGCCTCGAGCAACAAAAGTCATTTGCTGTAGCAGGTATACCTCTACTAAGGTGTTGACAGGTAGGAGTTATGCTGTTGATTCTCTGTGCTATGGCCCGGAGTGTGTTGTTTGGTGTGTAAGCATGATATATGTGACAGCTGACACTAGACTGCTAGAATGTTTTATCTTAGGATGATATATAAGAGGAATTTAAGAGCTAAAGCACATACAGTAAAGGCTTAGTCAGAAGTGCTGAAGTAAATACTAGCCTAATCGGTGGGGGTTCTGTGTAAAAGCATTGTTAATGTTTCTGAAGTCATTCAGTATGCGTTGCATTTTGTCTGCAAAGAGTTCTTTATTTATCTTGAAAGAGACGCACCGTACCACAGTCTGTTGCTATAAACGTAGTCGTTTGCTTTTATACTTCCATGCCAGTTTCAAAGTTCAGCTCATAATCTCACGTGTGAGCACGTAGGAGTGGATAATGGGATTTACAAGGAACTTTGATTTGTGGCTGGAAAAACACAGTGACGCGTTGCATTGCATGTGCTATAGACTGCTGCTGGTCTTTAGAATTTAGTATCAATGTTTATAGTTTTTCTTATTAAATTTCAGAGTATGTAGTAAATGTGATGCCATTCAAAATCTAAATGCCTCAGTCATACAAACTGTTTCTGTCTATTCTGACCCACAAAGTGAACTCAAGTTTTCTTTTCTTTTCCCCTCTGCAGTGTGGAAGGTGAGGCTCCGGGCGGCGAGTCGGGCCCCTCTCTGGACAATAGTGGAGGTTACTTACGAGGACCGGTGAGCCGCAGTGCTATCATCAGTGGCGAGCACTTTGACGGCCCACCGTTGTACGCTCACGAGGTACGGCAGCGCCCACGGAGACCCAAACTCCAGCATTCTCAGTCCATTCTCCGCAAACAGGCTGAGGAGGAGGCCATCAAACGCTCCCGATCGCTGTCTGAGAGCTATGAGCTCTCCACCGACCTCCAAGACAAACAGGTAAAGTCCTTCAGGATCTTTAACTGGAAATCTACCAAGAAACTGTAAATTCTCCACCAACTATTTGCATTCACATTTTGATGAGCCTTTATGGTGCCAAGGGGGTGTGATTGAGGTTTAGTGGCTTCATCTTATGCTTGATGTACTTCCCCCTCAAAGGACTGTGTAAATAAATCTAGTTTATTGTCGTTGGGTGAACATTAATTCCTTAAAGTTGCTTGTGGTGACTGCCTGTCTTTCATATGAAGAAATTTAATATGCCCAAAGGTTGATATGAGATCAATGAGAGCATTTTAGGACTAGGGAGATGAGAATCATAACTCGCATGCTGGGAGAGTGATCCGTATTCAGAGTGAGGGTGCTGCGGTACTATCCAGAGGCATGCTGCCCATCGTCTCTGTGTGAGGTCCCAGCAGAGCTGAGAAATGTGATTAGTTCTGCCTATTCTTCAGGCTAAAAAGGTCTTGGGCTGGCTTTTGCATTAAAGAAGGTTACGACTGATTGCTTAGGTGCCATGCTAAAAGCCTTTCTTGGTCCATGATGCCTTTATAGGGAATGAAATGGTGAGTTTTATCAATCTTACCTGTCAAAATACCTTGGAGTACCATGTGTGGCTTTTATTTGGTCATAGTGTGTCATGGAAGAGAGGACAAAATTAAATTCCATCAACAAAAAATTACTTGAGTCTAAAGAAGAAGGGGCATGATCGGGAATGCTATTTTCACAAAAAAAATTATGCTTCATCCTTGTTTTCACAGGTGGAGATGCTTGAGCGGAAGTATGGAGGGCGTTTTATAACCCGACATGCTGCACGAACAATCCAGACTGCATTCCGCCAGTATCAGATGAACAAGAACTTTGAGCGCCTCCGGAGTTCTATGTCAGAAAACCGCATGTCCAGACGTATAGTTTTATCCAATATGAGAATGCAGTTTTCATTTGAAGGACCTGAAAAAGTCCACAGTTCATACTTTGAGGGCAAGCAGGTGTCACTTACGGATGATGGGTCTAAACTAGGAGCATTGGTACAATCTGAGCGCGGTGAGATGGTCCCCGCCAACATGAAGTCACCTGCGGTCCAGAGCGATTTCACAGACGCCATTACAGAACTGGAGGATGTTTTCTCTCGACAAGTGAAGTCATTGGCAGAATCGATAGACGATGCACTGAACTGTCGTAGCCTACACGGAGACGAGGGACAGTCAGAAGCAACCAGAGGTCATCCAGACTTGGAGCAAGAGGTTACCTACCAGGTCAAGCCTTCCCACGGTAGCGAGCACCGAAAGCGAGATGAGATGACAGCCTCCTACAGCGATGTGACACTTTATATAGATGAGGAAGAGCTCTCGCCACCTCTTCCTTTATCACAATCAGTTGACAGACCCTCTAGCACTGAGTCAGACCTCCGTCTACGTTCTTTGAACTCTTCGCAGGACTACTGGTCTCTAGCTCATAAGGATGAAAAGGCCGACACGGACACTAGCTGCCGCAGCACCCCATCTCTAGAGTGTCAAGAGCAAAGATTGAGAATAGACCACCTTCCTCTGCTCACTATCGAACCTCCGAGTGATAGCTCTGTTGAGTTGAGTGACCGCTCTGACCGAAGCTCTCTCAAGAGACAGAACGCTTACGATCGAGGCATAGCCAGCCAGCAGGGCAGCCCTAAACACATCCCTTCCCATGCACTCCCACCAAGGGGGCCAGCAAGAGAGGATGAAGCTCCACGCCATCGGCCGCGGCAGCTGGAAAGCCATCTGGCTATCAATGGCACCGCCAACCGGCAAAGCAAATCCGAGTCTGACTTCTCTGATGGTGATAATGACAGCATCAACAGCACTTCCAATTCCAATGATACGATCAACTGCAGTTCGGAGTCCTCTTCCAGGGACAGTCTTCGAGAGCAGACTCTCAGTAAGCAGACGTATCACAAGGAGACACGAAACAGTTGGGACTCGCCAGCATTTAGCAATGATATCATCCGCAAGAGGCACTATCGAATTGGCCTGAACCTTTTCAACAAGTAAGTGTGTGAATGCATCCTTTTGGCTGTTGAAAGCTTGTTGGGAAAAAAGTATGTGGGTGGATTGACAGCAGTTGTGCAAAGCATCAGCTCCAAATCTACTCTGGGATTTCCTGCTTCTTGCAAAATTTAGACCCAGTAACTGTAAAGGCACTGTCACATAAATTAAATTTAGGTGAAGTGCTGATCTGTCGTCAGTAATCTTGCAATGCTGACTCAGAGGTCACTTCCAAGCCAAGCAGCTTTTTACTGGTAAACACATTGTTCAGTTTGAGGTTAGACAAAGTAAACATACTTGAATCCAATGTAAATTCCTAATTGTTTCAGAAAGACTTTTGCATAGAGATGGTTTCAGAGCACACACATCTAAGGTCATCTTAATGTGAGCACTTTAATGGTCAAATACATGCAAATTTGTGTCAAAACACGGTGTTTAGTGAATATTCATTATTCATAACCCTCATTTATGTAATATACATAAGGGTTGAGAATCAAACGACATGTGAAAGAGAAACCATTGTTCAGAACCGCACTGCTGTTAAAGTGACAGTGCCTAATATTCCTGCTGCTGACTGTTTTTATCTTTAATCAAACAACAAAAGGAGAAAACCACTCACTGCTCTTGACTTTTTATAGGGACTTTTGTAGCTATAATTAAAGTTTCTTTCTTACAGTCAAGGTGCTTGAAGCACAGTTTGTTTCATATTTTTATTCTATTGTATTTATTTCCCCTTCCTTATTTACAGAGAGGAAAATAACAGTATATACACAGTTGAAGTCAAAATTATGAGCCCTACTTATTTATAGTGGCTCTTTTCTGATTAACGGAAAGATGTTTTTACAACACATTTCTAAACATAATAACTCATTTCTAAATAATTTTTTTATCTTTGCTATGTACAGTACATAATATTTTACTGCATATTTTTCAAGATACAAGCATTCTGCTTAAAGTGCAATTTAAAGGCTTAATTAGGTTAATTAGGCAAGTTATGGTAATTATAGGCAAGTCATTGTGTAACAGTAGCTTCTTCTGCGGACAACTAAAACAATACAGTATCTTGCTTAAAGGGGCTGATAATGTTGATCTTACAATAGTTTTGAAAATAGCCAAAATAAAACAATTAAGACTTTCTCCAGAAAAAAAAAAATAATTATAGTAAATACTGTGAAAAATTCCCTGCTCAGTTAAACATAATTTTGGAAGTATTCAACTTTACATCGTTTGGAATAATCGTGATTACAATTATGACCAAAATAATTATGATTCAGCATACAGTAAATGTGTTGCTTGCTGACATACATTCTAAATTTCCACAATGCAACTTGGTACAGTGCATAATGATATGCATTTACTCCATATCCATTGTTGGAATTACCAAAAAGCAAATAGTAACACAACTCTTAATTGGGACTCTTTTTTTAAGAATACAGTCCCAGCAAACAATTTTGTGTTGAATAGACATCCAATAGATATCAAAATGTAGTAAGCTTGGCTAAAACAAGGCTAAACTTGTTCTCTCAGTGAAAATCTAATAGACATCTAAAAATAGCCCAAAACTAGACTAGTCGTCAAAAAGACAGATTAGACAGACTTTATATGTGTAGTCATTCATTTTTGTTTATTTGATGAATAATCTAGTGTTGGCCTATTTTTAAACATCTATTAGATTTTCACTGACAGCCCAAATTTAGCCTTGTTTTAGTCAAGACGGCTATGTTTAGACGTCTATAAAACATCTATTAGACATCTTTTAAAGCAAAAAAATGCTTGCTGGGGTATAGCACCAAAAGTGCAAGACTGAATACTACAATTGGTTAACAAAGAATCATCACTTTTGTGTGCAACAAGTCAGAGGAACGACAACACAGAAAACTGCATTTCGAATACACATTCAAAAAACCATAATACAAAGACAGTGCACAGCAATGAACCATTCTCAAACAAAGCTCGTCTCATCTTCTGACAAACTACCACATGCCAAGGAGTAACAACAGGATCTGCTGTATGTCTCTTGTTGTTTACGGGGACATTCTTGTCACATCTATTATGGAGAGTATGAGGTGCACTCCTTCCTCGAATTGCATGTGCTTATCACACGTTGTGACGATAATCAGGGCTATCGGAAAGTGTTTAATTGGTCACCACCCATTGAACATCAATGGGGAAACGGGTGAGAATATAAAGGTGGAGGGCTGTAGTAGTCAGAGTAAGCAGTCAGAGAGAGAGTGACGAATGGAACATGACATGGCGTAAGGCTGGATGTGGAAGAAAGAGGATAGCTGAATAGGTGGAATGGTATTGCGTAAGGCATTATGCGGAAGAAAAGCGGAGAGCTCAGAACTGTTTTGTCCAGAACTACATTTGAAATAATGAACTGTTCAAAAAGAACTTTACTGTTCAATATGATAATAAAATCCTTCTTCTTCAAAGAAAAATTATGTTGATGGCAACTTTCTGGTGTACACCATGGCGTCGTTAGGATATTCAGTTAAAATAGTTGGGTTAAAATACCCCAGCATATACCACTTATAGGTTATTATAGCACCTTCCCAACTGTGGGTTATTTTAACCCAATGCAATGAGTTATATAATTTAACACATCAACCAAGACATGACACCTGGTTTTGCTGGTTCCTAAAGGTGAGAATGACGCTGAAAATGTGTTAATTCCCAAACATGTGTCATTTCCCCCCCCAAAAAATGTAAAGATGAACACAGGGGGTAGAGAAAGCAGTTGTTATTTGTTTAATATAGATCAGCTATGAAGCGAGCGTTTGTATTATCAATAATTAAGAGTGCTGGTGAATTGCTTCTGAAAATCATGACAGGGAGAGGTAATTTGATCAAATAAATTAATAACAATATTATTGTTAGAGCTTAAATAAACTTTCTAACACAAAAACGTTACGTAGGTATATTAATACAGCTGTTCAGATTCAGTTAAATCAGATGACTGTTGAAATTCAAAAATTTTAACCCAACTGGTTAAGTCAATAAATAAATAACCAAATTAAAGTAAAAATTACTCAACAAAGCACCAAATATTTAACTCAACTGGTTAAGGTAATAAATAAATACCCTAATAAAGGTTCAAAATAATCCAACAAAGCCCCAAATATGTTTAACTTAAACTTTGGGTTTAATAAAAAACTGCAAGACTGATCAGGGAACATGGAACATGCCTAACTTTTAACCCCAAAGAAATAGTACTCAGCTTCTCATTTCCACACGACGTGCATGCTTTGGTTAGAAGCATCAAATTTTAGATACACTGAGTAATGATTTTCATTAGCACCAATCAGAGCTGCGTTAATGGCTGTGATCTTATTGCGTGAACAATGCCGGGAGCTAATGTTTTTTTCAATTATCCTTTAAACCAAGCACACAATGCAAACAGATCTGTGTTTTCCTTTTCCAGACATTCATTATGATTTTGGCTCATTTATTTATGCAGTACGTGTCTGTGTGCTTGTGTGTCACACCGCCTGTTTGATTGCCACTCACTCTAAATTTGATTAGCGATCAAGCAATTAGAATCGTGATGAGAGCAGTGTTAGTTTAGTTGTGCTGCTGATCAAGGAAACCATTGCACTCTCATTACCACAGTTTACCATCTAAGCATGAGATCAAAACAAATATGTTTAATATTTTTAAATATATACAGCTGAAGTCAGAATTATTAGCCCCCATGAAATATTAGCCCTCCTATATATTTTTCTCCATTTTCTGTTTAAAGGAAAGAAGATTTTTTTAAAAACATTTCTAAACATAATAGTTCATTCATTTTTTTTTTTTTTTGTGCTTAGTCCCTTTATTAATCAGGGGTCGCCACAGCAGAATGAACTGCAAACTTATCCAGCACATCTTTTACGCAGCAGATGCCCTTCCAGCTGCAACCCAACACTAGAAAACACCCTTACAAACTCTTTCACACACATACACGATGGCCATTTTAGCTTATTTAATTCACCTGTAGTGCATGTCTTTGGACTGTAGGGGAAACCGGAGCACCCGGAGGAAACCCACGCAAACACAGAGAGAACATGCAAACTCCACACAGAAATGCCAACTGACCCAGCCGGGGCTCGAACCAGCAACCAAACAAAATGTTTTGAATACCTAATTTCTAATAACTGATTTGATTTATCTTAGCCATGATGACAGTACATAATAATTATTATAGTAGTTATTCATTTGACCCAATGGTTGAGTTAAAATAATTTGGTGCTTTGTTGGGTTATTTTTAACCTTTATTCTGTTATTTAATATTAACTCAACCAGTTAGGTAAAAATATTTGGTGCTTTGTTAGGTTATTTTAACCTTTATTGGGTTATTTATTAATAACTCAACCAGTTGGGTTAAATATTTGGTGCTTTGTTTAGTTATTTGTAACTTTTATTGGGTTATTTAATAATAACTCAACCAGTTGGGTTACATATTTATAATTTCAACAGTCAACTGATTTAACTGACAGCTGTATTAATATGCTTACGTATATATATATATATATATATATATATATATATATATATATATATATATATTTTAGGGATGTAACGGTATCAGAATTTCACGGTACGGTAATACCTCGGTATGAATGTCACAGTACAGTATTTATTGAATCATTTACAGGAAAAACAAAACTTATGCAAAAACTCCAAAAAAGTGCCAAAAGTGTCAATGACATACAAATTAGCCATCTATCTGTAAACTTTGAAACAGAACCTTCAATTTTAATAACAAAAAAATATTAAACCATGTAAAAAAAATAAAGTTTCAATTTAGTATTGTTGAAAACTCATCACATTCAACATTTAATCACTCACTCACTTAGATAGAGATGGGTTTAAAGGAATATCTCGGGGCATTTACAATACCCTTAAATCCATAATATATATATATATATATATATATATATATATATATATATGCATATATATTTTTTTTTTATTATTAAATGTTTTTTTTTTCATTCTGGTATTACCATTGCTACTATCAATAATAATAATACTATATTATTTTCATTACATTTTAAGTTTCAGACACTAAAGGGTTTTTATCAGTTTAATACAGATTGACTATGAAGCACGCGTTTGTATCTTCAATAATTTAGAGTGTTGGTGAAGAGGATATAAAAAACACAAGATGGAGATGTTATAGCTTAAATAAACTTTACAATAGTAATAGCAATAGTAGCAATAGTAATATCAGAATGGAAAAAATAACATTTAATCAAATTAACCCAATGCATTGGGTTAATTTATATAACCCAATACATTGGGTTATAATAACCTATAGTTGGGAAGGTACTATAGTAGCCTATAGTTGGGTTATGAGTTGTAATTTTTAACCCAACTATTTTAACTGAGTAGTATTCAGCTTAAAATGCAATTTAGGTCATATAATGATGATTTGTTCTGTAGACTATAGAAAAAAAATATTGCCTAAGGGGGCTAATAATATTGACTTTAAAATGTTATTTCACAATTAAAAACTGCTTTTATTCTAGCTGAAATAAAACAAACGAGACTTTCTCCAGAAGAAAAAAATATTATAGGAAATATTGTGAATAATTCCTTGCTCTGTTAAACATCATTTGTGAAGTGTTTGAAAAAGAACAGGTGGGCTAATAATTATGTCTTTAACTGTTTATTCTTTAAAATGTTTAGGGGATATTATTTATCAACTGTTTGCAGTCATTGGGGCATTTCAAATAAGAATAAACTACTCACTGGATGGATAAATGTGCTTGCTTAAAACTGCTGGGCATTTTTATGTGTCTGTATTGAATGTTTGTTCGTTTAAAAGCTTTGTTTAAAGTCGAAGCCTCTAATCTTGGATGATTGTGGATTTGCCAGTTTTGCCCATTAAGTTCCTTTTAATCTTGTGTGGTAACGGTCCAGCCACAAGAGCATGCTTGATCTGAGAGCTGCTTAGTCACACATTGGGACCAGTACGTGCACTGTTCAGACGTTTGATCTTCTTTATTGTCTCTAGGAAACCTGAAAAAGGCATCCAGTATCTGATTGAGCGAGGATTTGTCCCAGACACACCTGTGGGAGTTGCCCATTTCCTGTTACAGAGAAAAGGGTTGAGTCGACAGATGATTGGCGAGTTCCTGGGCAACAGGCAGAAACAGTTCAACAGAGATGTTCTTGAGTAAGTTCAGTCATTTTAACTGGATGAAGTCCATGAAAATCACAGATGTGTTTTGTTGCATATTTATATATTATACTGTATACTATACAATGCCTGTCTTGTTTGCCTCTGAGCTAACTTCCCTGAACTGTCTCCTCCATCACTGCTCTTATCCAATCTGCATCATTCTCATGGTCACTAAAACCCATATCATCAGTTCTGTCCTTTACTTCTTTCACTTACCATAGAACATTATGGTCCTCACTAATACACTGTTCTGTGTATTTAAATCTAATCAAAGTATTGTCATTAAAACAAAGATTTTATCCATCATGCAAATGCGATTAACATACATGTATGAATATTCAACATTATATTACTAGCATTCGTGTTGTTATTGTTACACCTTAAAATATTACAGCTGACCTTCCTATCTAGCTAACCTATTGCAATGTTGCAAATTCCACTATTTCCACTTGGCAACACATACATTTAATTGATTTACACAATTCTTTTGATAAAAACTAGTTAATGTTATCATAACCATAGTGGAGGTGATGATTTTTTGCGGATCTGACATCAGTTGATTCTTTGTTTTTATTGATGTTTTGATTTGCATTCAGCAACTACTCACAATAAAAGCCAGTCTGTTAGAAATCACACTACAGAAAAACACTGCACATCATGTGACTTGACCAAAGCACATCATTGGCTAAACTAAGGTCTTCTCTTTCCAACAAAAAATTAGAATGTTGGTCTTAAAGAAACAGTGGCAGGGATATGAGCATAAATATCATGTGCGGTAGAGGGTTAAAAATATTGCACATATTATTTACTTTTTGTCTTGTTTTGCATTGGCTTTTTCCATGAGCTATGCATTGGCAGTTATTTTAGATATGTAGGTGGTAATTTATACATGCACAACATTTTTACTATTTCTTTTTGCTTCTTTTTGTTTTTTTCTGGGTTATAAGGGTTGTGGATGGGCAAAGTTACTTGTTAATATGTTCATATGTTATTATCTTATAATTTTTCTCATAAGATTTGTTTATTTTGCTTTGTTTAGTAAAAGGGCTCATTTTTTTACACACTGTAAAAAATTTCCAGATTTTCACAACATGTTACTTTAATTTTGACAAAAAAATTACATTAGTATCACTTTACGGGATTTACTGTAAACATTCACAGTAATGTGTTGTATACATAGTTTTATTGTGAAAATAAGGCGGGTAGTATGATTACAGCAAATTACTGTGAAAAGAACTATATATTTTGCATGTTAGTTATAAGAATTTAAACTCTTTTTATTTCATTCAACATAGACATGAATACAAATTAACTTTTATGCTAGTATTGGCACTTTTTTGATATTTAGAAATAACAGTATGTTATCGCAGCCCCAAAAACAATTTGATTTCTTCAACAAAAATAACTTGAAAGAAAATCATCCCGTTTTAAAACAACATGAATGTCATGGTAAATTTTCATTTTTGGGTGCACTGCACCTTTAAATAATTTTATAAGAAAATATGAAATAATTTTTAATGTACATAACTTTGTGCCTAGCCAAAAGCGTAACAAACTGGACAAAAGTAATTGATTCATGAAACCAAACACTGTTAAACACCCAAAGTGATTTTAAAGTCAGGGTAAATGTCACAATGACTAGCCGAGGAAAGCCTGCTTCACAGTAAAATATAGTTATTCTACAAGATAATACTGTGAAATCAATCTACTGTGAAGTTACAGTGTATATCTGTAATTTCACAGTAATTTTACGTAATAAAATCTCAGTAAATTATTGTGAACTACCTCATTTTTAGATACTACCTCAATTTAAATACAGTATTTTACTGTGAAAGTAATGCAATTATTAGCCAGCAATTTATTGTGAATTTAAGGTATTTTTTTTACAGTGCATGCATGTTCTTTAATTCAAAATTGAGCTAATCGACTATAAATGGAAATAATTTACAGGCAAAAGCCATAGTCTGTTTCTTCATCCCTGTTTATTCAATCTACAATCAGAATAAACCTTATTTTATTTTAAATGCACACAAAAAAATAACAAATAAAAACAATTCCATGATGATAATCTTTAATTTTAGGATGCTCTTCTGTGATTATTTTCTTCGCCATCCTCACGACAGCCAAATTACCTAGTTAAATTGCATTCTGCTAGAATCACTGGAGCCTGTATGAATTTATGTGTGCCCCAAAAAGCCAAACTGACCACTACGTTCCCTCCTTTCAAGCTCTTGTGGCTTTGAGTGCACGCAGGATCAAAGGTAGAAAACATCACAGTCCATTGTCTCAGAAACTGGTTCTTTACAATTGAACCCACAACCATTTAAGTGATGACTGCATTTGGGATCAAGGGTGGAAAACATCCCATTCTTTTGTCTTTAAAACCTGATTCATTGTTATTCCAATCGCAATCGTGTGTCTAATTGTTTGCGATCCAGTGAAATTAGTGTGCGAATGACAAACATTTATTCCATCCAGTCTTTTGTTGGGATTAAAGTGTGAGACAGGGTTGATATATGGACTCTTGCGCTGCTTTATACGTATTGACTGAGGTGTCTGGGTTCATGCAGTACTTTTCCAATACCGAATGTCTGCGAGTGAATCAAATCATTTTCACTCTTAAGTTAACTCGTCCTCCCTTTTCAGTCTGACAATAACAGTCAAGATAATGGGGACAGATAAGGCCACGCAGTCTGTGTTCAGCTCAGTCTGGCAGCGATTTTTTTTTAAGCCACTTCTTTGAAATCAGTAACTCTTGACATGTGAGATCAAATGCACTCTTGAGTTTCCCTGGAGCAAAATGTCCCTCCAATTGCTTTGTATGGCCCATGATTGTGATTTAGAGAGTGATAGAACTTGCTTTTATCTGAAAGACTAAATTTGTCTCGTTTTTTCCTGTAGCCTAAAAGCAGTGACCACTGTTGAGTGTGCTGTGATAATTAATAAAGTGCACTGAATTAGTTGTGTTATTTTCCAGAAGACTGGGTGGAATGAGCCATTCCTCTTATATTACTGTACAGGAAAGAATGTGGCAGTCCTTTGACTCAATTGTTCATTACCTTTTTCCAGCTGTGTGGTAGATGAGATGGATTTCTCTGCAATGGAGCTGGATGAAGCCTTGAGAAAATTCCAGGCACATATCCGGGTGCAGGGAGAGGCACAGAAAGTGGAGAGACTAATTGAAGCCTTCAGGTGAAAAACAGATCATTTTTATTCTTTACCAAAAACGTATATTAATACATGATATATCATATTTTACTCTCCATTCACTTGTTCTAAACCTTTTTGCGTACACTACCTGACAAGTCTTGTTGCCTATCCATGTTCTAGTAACTTGACTTCAAGTTGATCACTTGGTATCAGATGTGGCTTATGTGTAAGGCAAAGGCCTCTATATTACACTTATTCTACCAAAATAAAAATATGATCATGCCTTGATTTTTAATTATTTAATTAGGTAAGGTCTGACTTTGCTTAGACAAATGTCTAGGCACTTAACACAAGCTGCAGTGGAAAAATAATTAATATTGTATAAATCTCACATGAACTTGAAGGACTGCATCTATACATCTCTGCATTGACTCAAATAACTTATTAATAAAATAATCTGGTAGTCAGGTAGTGTATCTTCACAAAAAAAAAGTATTTTGAAGAAAGCTGAAAATCTGTAACCATCAACTTTATAGGAAAACTCACAATTTACTCACTGGTTTTTAACTTTTATAAGTTTCTTTTTCTGTTAAACAGAAAACATATAACCACTTACTTCCATAGTAGAAAAAAACAAATACTGTGGAAGGAAATGGTTAGTGGTTTCCAGCTTTCTTCAAATTATCTTCCTTTGTGCTCAAAAGAATATAGAAAGTCAACCAGATGTGGAACAAGTAAATTGTGAGTAAATGGTGACTGGTATTTTATTTTTGGATGAATTGCCATCAGATTCTTTATGATTTGCACAATGGATAAGTCAGCATATTCACTTAAACTTTTTTTTATATCATGTAAGAAGAGACCATTTTCTTAGCCTTCATTAGATTTTATAAAACACAAAAAAAACCACTCTCTCAGCCCACAGAGAACATTGTTCGATTGACTTTCAAGGACTGTCTGTCAGCAACCGCAGGAGCTTACAACGTGCACCAAGATCACCTGCTAGACCTTCAAAAATAATGTTACAGCAAAACCCTTGGAGCAAGATGTATTCTTTCCGAATGAACTGTTTAAAGACCACTTAAGTGTTATCTGAAAGAACATAGCTCTGTTTTAGCTCAGTTTTAGCATCCTCCGTCCTGCTGGAGCATCAAGAACCGATTAGTCACCTGAACAATTACTGATTCAATTAATGGCATCCCATATTCAATTGTTTCTCTTTTGTTCATTTGTTGTTGTTATTGTTTCTCCATTCAGTCAGCGCTACTGCATCTGCAACCCGGGGGTGGTACGGCAGTTTAGGAACCCAGATACCATCTTCATCCTGGCGTTTGCCATTATACTCCTCAACACAGATATGTACAGCCCGAATGTGAAGCCAGAGAGGAAGATGAAACTAGAGGACTTTGTGAAGAACCTTCGCGGTAAGAATCATATCTAGAGTTTTTTTCTGTTCAAAGTTACACAGTATGAGCAGGCATCACATTTTTCTAGAGACTTTCCCATAGTTATTATCAAAAAAAGTTATTATTATGAAAAAAAATCCACATTTTGTTTGATTTTGGATTTTTTAAAAATCATAATTGATGAGCGCTAGTGTTTGTCCTTTGTCAACAAAAATAGGTGGTACTTTGCATGTACATGTCACCTTACATTAACCCTAACCCCAACCATACAGTCTACTTATAATCTAATGAGAATTAGTTGACATGTAGATGCAATGTAAGAAACAGAACATTAAAATAAAGTGACCAAATAGCTTTATCAATTGAAGCTAGTCATGTCATAGTATGTTTTGAAGAACAAATTACCATCTAATTACATTTTCATGTTGATCAAGATGAAGGTGGGAGTGCTCCATTCAGAATACAGTTGCTTTCTGTAAGGGGTTAAATGTTTGTGATCTGCATTTAGATACAGTTAAAGGCGAAATTATAATCTGTGAATTTGTGAAACCTGTGAATCTTTAAAATCTTTTTTCAAATATTTCCCAGGTGGCGTTTAGCAAGAAAATGTTCACTGTATTTCCTTTTTTTCTTCTAGAGAAAGTCTTAGTTCTTTTAGTTTAGACAAAAAAAAAAGCTTTTTTAAGGTCAATATTATTAGCCTGTTTAAAAAAATTCAATCAAGCTACTCTTGTACCTTCATTAATCAACATATACAGTTGATGTCAGAAATATTAGCCCCCTGAATTATTAGCCCCCCTGTTTATTTTTTCCCCAATTTCTGTTTAACAGAGAGAAGATTTTTTTCAACACATTTCTAAACATAATAGTTTTAACTCATTTCTAATAACAGATTTATTTTATCTTTACCATGATGACTTATTTTATCTTTGCCAGTTGCCTAAAGTGACATTTAAAGGCTTAACTAGGTTAAGTTAACTAGGCAGGTTAGGGTAATTAGGCAAGTTATGATGGTTTGTTCTGTGGACTATCAAAAAATATATAGCTCTAATAAGGTAATAATTCTGTCCTTTAGAATGGTTTTAAAAACAGCTTTTATTGTAGCCGAAATAAAACAAATAAGGCTTTCTCTAGAAAAAAAATCAGTATGATCAGACTTACTGTGAAAATTCCCTTGCTCTGTTAAACATCATTTGGGAAATATTTTAAAAAGAAAAAAATTCAAATGGGGCTAATACTTATAAGACTTTAACTGTATATATAAACATAGTGCTTTAACATTGTGTACTTATAAACAAAGATGAATTAATTAAATTAAGAAAACTTCAGTACAATACAAGCAAACCCTGACAGCATCAGCAACGTCTTATTTTCTCCAGACTAAGCAAATGCTACACATCATTGGTCCACTGTTTAAAAGAAGGGGGAAATTATTGTTTCTAATTTATTAAATCAAGCATCTTGCCAAAAAGAGAAGTAAAGGCAATGCAGTCCAATTCATTTTTTGACAAATTATTATTTTCATATACAATAGCAAAGACAGCAGTTAAGGGATTTGCACAACCATCTTTACAAAATATTCTGGAGTAAGATAAACAAAAAATAATTAATTGATCAAAAAACAGATAATCTGGGACATAACCAAAACATATGGGTTAATGTGGCAGGGGACTGCTTGCTTCTTGTACAAAAGGGATCCATCGAATACATCCTTGCCAGCTTGGCCTTGGAAAGATGAAGTCCTCGTCTATCAAACTGATATTAATAATAAACTATTTAACCTAGTTAAGCCTTTAAATTACACTTTAAGCTGAATACTAATATTTTGCTAAATAACTAGTAAAATATTATGTTCTACCGTCAAAGGGGGGGGGGGGGGGGGGGAGTGTTGAAAAAAATCTACTCTCTTAATATTTCCAAGGAGGCCTAGTAAGTTTGCTTCAACTGTATGTGTGCATCTTTTGTTTTGCCTTCTTATATGAAATTGCTGTAATTTCATTTTCTTGTTGCATTAACTTAAATCACTATTATGACTCATTCTGATTGATCCTTTTCCTTGCATTCAAAGTTCTAATTGACTCACAAAGAGAACCATTTAGACCTAAGTTAGAGTTAACTTTAGATAGAACATTTTTGTTTCTAAATAAAATAAAAGTTCCAAAATGTACACAACAAATGTCCTAAATATATATGTGTTTTTTTTCATTCATAGGAGTGGATGATGGAGAGGACATCCCGAGAGAGATGTTAGTGGGCATCTATGAGCGAATTCGTAAACGAGAGCTTAAGACGAATGAAGACCATGTGTCCCAAGTGCAAAAGGTGGAGAAACTCATCGTGGGCAAAAAGCCGGTAAGTGCCATTGTCGCTTTTGACTATCCAAGGCATTTTGCAGTGCAGTCATTGTAAGACAAGTCCATTTCTATCCATCATGTTCTGAACTTACATTGACCCTCATTCTAGAAATGACCCTTTATTGATTCCTGTCATGGTCCAGTGGTGTCAAATGATCCACGATCGTTGGTTAAGCATGTTTCTTTCCTCATGCTTTCTCTTTTCTGTGTAGATCTATAGTTTTTTCAATCTGTAAGTTGTCTGCAAAAAGGCCCCATTCCAGCTAAATTTCAGATGTTCAAAAAGATAAAATCAATAAAAAGTTATTTTAATTTTTTAAATGCTGAGTTTTAGGGCGCATGAACACTGCAGTCTCCATAGTACATAATATAGGTCCCTTTTTAATGTACGGCTTTAATAAAGTAATTTGTGTGCTAATAAAGTGGGAAGATGAAGGTTGCAAAGTACAAGTTTTGATCTGGGGGCGAGGCAGTGGCGCAGTAGGTAGTGCTGTCGCCTCACAGCAAGAAGGTCACTAGGTCGCTGGTTCGAACCTCGGCTCAGTTGGCGTTTCTGTGTGGAGTTTGCATGTTCTCCCTGCCTTCACGTGGGTTTCCTCCGGGTGCTCTGTTTTCCCCCACAGTCCAAAGACATGCAGTACAGGTGAATTGGCTAGGCTAAATTGTCCGTAGTGTATGAGTGTGTGTGTGAATGTGTGTGGATGTTTCCCAAAGATGGGTTGCGGCTGGAAGGGCATCCGCTGTGTAAAAACTTGCTGGATAAGTTGGCGGTTTATTCCGCTGTGGCGACCCCTGATTAATAAAGGGACTAAACCTACAAGAAAATGAATGAATGAATGAAGTTTTGATCTTATTTTGTTAAAAAAAAACTGTTGCACTTGTTTGTTATTCATAGTAATATTGGGCAACACTTCATCGCTTACACTAAAACTTACAGACATAAATTTAAAAAAGTGTGTGTGAATAACTTCCTCTCGAAGAAGAAAAAAAAAAGCCTTATTTCTTTGGTTAAATTGTGCTTCTGACACCAGCAAATTTTAGTTTTTTTTGAAAGATAACCTATGGACAAAAGGTCAACCAGTTGATGCTAGTTGAAGGGATAGTTTATTGCTGATGAAATTACATTTGGTAAAACAAATGCAATGAATTTCTTTATATTATCTGTTCGAAGCTCTATTAAACGCTATTAAACTGTAATAACAGATCTGTAGAACATCTGAAATGAAAACTGGCTATGCTATTTCATTCTCTCTTTTTCTTGAATAATTACAGCAGTATAATGTTACTATTACTATTGCTCCAAACTTCACCTATTTTTAAACCCTGGCTTCAGACATATTTGCAATCATTTTGTTATTATTCTTCAAGAGATAACACATGACATTGAGTCTTTGAGGTTCTTCATCTGTTAGATGCTGTTCTTTATGACAAATCTAAAATCTTGGATCGTAACGGTGTGTGATTGACTGAGTATCTTGGTGTGCATGTATGTCATGTAGCGAGCTGTTTGCGTGAAGCTCCGCAGAGATAAATGTGGTTTGCTTCTTCATAGAAGCCTTCAGTGTCACCTAAAGATTAAACCTGCTGATGGTTCACCTGCTCATGCACCGTATCATGTGTTAGAACTGTAGAACATATTTAGAGGAGGCAGCATGTTTAGTGAGATGTAAACGACAGACATGCTTTTAATGTTTTGTTGGCTAATAATGCATTTTGAAATAGATTATGCATTTTTTTAATAATTGTTTTTATTATTTTAATGTTCAAAATTGAGGTTTCCAACCTTATGAGGTTTTCGAAGATCACTTTTCAAAGATTTAAGGAATTCTTTAGATGTTAGTTTTTAGATATTTTTACAGAAGTCTCTTCTACTCACAAATGCTACATTTAGTTGATCAAAAAAATGCAAAAATAAAAAATAAATAACAAAACATTTTCACAATATTACCGTTTGACATAACGTTTTTTTTTTTTATATAATTTCTGAAATGTAATTTATTTTTAATTGCAAAGCTAAATTTGGTCATGATCTACATTTGTTTGATAACATAAAAACATGAATATTGTCACACATTTAATCCGCTAAAGGCTAAACTGAATTGACTGCAGTCATCAGGGTCACATGAATTAAACTTAAAACTAGAATAGAAAAGTGAATATTGTCATTATGATTTAATACAACTGTTTTCTGTGTTAATATATTAGAAAATTTTGTTATTTCTTTGGCAGTATTATAATTATCTTGTATTAATTATGTTGTTATGGAATACAGTAACTAAAAACTCAACACATAACATAAAACTTTTATTTAGGTTTTATTTTAGGTTTGCAATACGAATCTAATTAGAACCACTTGTTTGGTAAAGAAAGTAAGTTTTTCATATAATAATATCTACTAAAAGATAGAAAATATTACTCCAAACTGAATTGTATATGAACCATTAGCATATTATTCAATAATATTACTGAAATTAATGTAAAATCTGTGCTATTTATATCTTTATTGCCATTTAAATAAGTAAATAAAAAGACTCAACAATGGGCTAAAAATCTGTGGATTCCATGTAGGTTTACTTATGATTAGTGTAACATGTTGGCCTGGAATAAATCCTGTAAACATAACACATTTTTGCTTCTTTTTTGGCATTTTTGTACATTATCCACACAAGATAAATACAATACCTCATAGCCTTCCAACGCAATCGCTGGTCTCTCTTAAGACTAAACTAAGCGAAGCTGTTTCCATAATGAACCGGCATCTCTATTACCACACCTAGAGCCTGTCACACAGCTGAACGTGGAGCCGCTGTGGGTTTTCAGAGCTGAAATAATTAACATTTAAGCCTTAATGGAAGCGACACACATGACTTAGTCGCCAGGAAAACCTTCTCCCCAGTGTATCTCCCACAAATCTTCAGAGAGGACATGATGGAGGTGTCCCATGGAGCTCAAATAGAAGCTGCTGTGCCCCGAATTGCTGCACCCCGGCTGCTGTAATTAGGTTTTCTCCAAACGGGCCAGAGACGTTCCTGTCACAGTTTCAAGCGGCAGCAGTTTGGCTCCTCATTAACCTCTTTTCTCACCTCATTCATCCACACAGCTCACTTCTGACAGGTAGACGGAGGGTGGTCTTCATAACGAGAGAGAGACACCACTGTCTGACCTTCAAGACTCCCTTCAGTTCATTCACTATGATACTCACTCATCTGTCTCTTTTTTCACTTTCAGATCGGCTCTCTGCATCATGGCCTCGGATGTGTAAGTATTATGCTCACTGTTTTTAGGCCTTTCAGTGTTAGTATTAAGCAGCTTCAGTTTGAAAATGGTGATAACAAGAATTGTTTTTAGTCAAATAATTTTACTTGAGATTTTCTGTCACATACACTAACTGCCCGGCCACTTTATTAGGTACACCTTACTAGTACTGAGTTGGAGCCCCTTTTATCGTGGCTTAGATTCAACAAGGTACTGGAAATATTACTCAGAGATTTTGGTCCATATTGACATGATAGCATCACGCAGTTGTGGCAAATTTGTTGGCTGCACATTCATGTTGAGAATCTCCTGTTTCACCACATCCCTCTATTTGATTGAGTTCTGATGACTGTGGAGGCCAGTTGAGTTTAGTGAACTCATTGTCATGTTAAAGAAACCAGTCTGGGATGATTCGTGCTCTATGACATGGCACGGTATCCTGCTGGAAGTAGCCATCAGAAGATTATGATTCTCTGTAAATCCTAGAGATGGTTGCCACATCTGATCATTTCTGGAAACTGAGGGGCGTAGTGGCTAAAAGCAGATTCACCCTGTTTTGACTGAACTCTTGGAATTTCTAGTTTATATGATCCTAAAGATCACTAGCATAGGGCCACAGCTCTGTATAGATTTGCTTCAACCCTATCTAAACACAGCTGATCCCACTAATCAAGGTCTTGAATACTTAATTAGTTGAAATAGGTGTTTTTGAATAGGGTTGGTGCGAAATTGTGCTGAGCTGTGGCCCTCCAGGAACCTATGCTATAGTTTGAGACCTATGCTACAGTATATGTACTGTTTACTATGTGCTTTATATATATTTATTTTTTAATAATAAATTAAACAATAAACATTATAATATAGTATTGTACACAAGTCACTTTTACATTTTTATTTTATTTAAATTTACAATTATATAAATAAATAAAAACTAAAAAATCTCGGCAAAATACAGCTTATTTTGAACACGGTATGTCATATATACTGTGTAGATTACATATAGTATACTGCTTCAGTAAGTCATATGTAAGTATAATATTTTCAACATGCTATTTGATCAATATCTGTATCCCGCACCCACAGGTTTTGTCTCTGCCACATCGCAGACTGGTCTGTTACTGTAGACTGTTTGAAGTCCCGGACCCCAACAAACCTCAAAAACTGGGTCTCCACCAGAGAGAAATCTTCCTGTTCAATGACCTTCTAGTGGTAAGAAAGCACACATCATAACCTAAAATACATTATGAGAAACAACCGGAACAAATTACACCAAAAAGTCTTACATCATAACTTTTTTGTGTGTTATGTTGTTATGTTCTTGCTGTTATGATTGTGCAAGATGTATTTAGTCCAGTTCTAGGTCAGCAAGTGTACGTCATGTGTCCTGAAGACAGTCAGAATGTGTCTGCTTTTCCGAATGCCCGAAGAGAAAAGGGTAATTGGAAACAGATGGGGTCCTAATGTGACATGCTTTTTTCTTTTTTTCAGGTCACTAAGATTTTCCAGAAGAAGAAGAATTCGGTGACGTACAGTTTCAGGCAGTCCTTTTCTCTCTACGGGATGCAGGTGCTGCTGTTTGAAAACCAGTGTAAGTGCCTGAAGTGGAGGGTCAGCAACCTTTTGACTCCATAATGCCCTTTTTCTGGGTGATTTACCTTGTTGTGGGACTGGGTGAACTGCCTAAATATATTTAAATATATATTTTCAGAAAAGATGCATATAATATGAAGGCAAAATTTGCAACATGTTGTCTCAAATACACACACAGTAAGAAAATGCAGGATTCCATACAATTCCTCTATGTTGTTCCAACATTAACTGATTAAGTAAGCGTAATTGTTTTCATAAATTTAAGTGGATTGATCATAAAACAATTAAGTTGTCCTCCAAAAAACTTGTTGTTTCAACTCATTTTAAATAAGTAGTTTGAACAAACAAAAAAAAAATTGAGTGACACACTGTGATACTGTGTATCATAAGAATATAAAAATACTAGGTATTTTTAGCTCAAATGTAAACATTTAAATTTATTCCACCTTTGTCTCCTAAAATTCTCAGAGCGTTTTTCACAATTTAAGACCTTAAAAAGTCCTAAATCAGAGCAGAAAGGCATTCTTAAATTCACAAAGTTATTAAACTAAATGTGCAGACAATGGAAAAAGAATACTGGGTAATGAGATTTTTACACAGAACACATTTATATTAATAATAAAATCACAGAAGAATCGAGGCTCACAAAAAAGGTTCTGTGTTTTAATCCCAATTGAGGCTTTGGTTATTCTAATTATTTAGGATAATATTGATTCAGAACAAATGTGGGAATCAGTGTTTGAACTATGCCGTGTCCTTTGGGAGAGCCCACTTTTTTTTTATCTTGAAAGTCCCTTGTCTCAATGATGTAGGCTATAAAACACACAGAATCCCTGTCCTTAAGCAGCAATGAAAATAAATATTTATTTAATTGTAACTAATATTACAAAGTATACTAAATGAACAAAACACTGCGATAGTTTCGGTTTACTTTCTCGCTAAAAAGCTATTGTTTTCCCATAATTAACTTTTTTTGACTCTTGAAGATATCTTTTGAGGGATTTTTTTTTACGTCCACAAACAACATCACCTGCAGTGCTTCTGTGAGAGGGATACATTCATTTATATAAAATTAGCTCGAATATGTTTTACCTAACAACAAATTAAATAACCTCGTCATGTAGTCTATCATTTTTTATTCGCTCTAATGCTTTTTATTTTACTTAAGGCCTATAGATCATGGGATTTCACTTTTCACTCCAGCAAAACATAAATGCAAATTTGAAAATAAAAGAAACACCATTGAAAGGGGTTCCGTTTTGTCAGGTTTACCTACTTTCAGCTTAATAGGCCAACATGTTTACAGCAGTGTCTATGGAACAAAATCAATGCCTAAAGTCTTGAATTAAAAAGCTTGTTGAATATCACAAACTGAAAAAAATTATACACCGTATTAACAAGTTCTTGCGTTTTAATGACTTGAATTCCAGGGTTTGTATTTTTAGGTCCTGAAATTTAACATATCTGTTTATTTAAGCTGTGAATATTTCAACGAAAAATATTTCAAACACGTTTTCATACTTAAAAATTCAATAATTCATATTCAATTTTCAGATTTCACTTACAAAATATTCAATACCCTTTAAAAATACGATGTATAATATTCAAAAGGTCATTTTCAGTTCATTTTATTTCAGTTCAAATATTCGCTTCCATAAATTCAGTGGATCAAATTCGACTGTTAAAATTCAACATTACATCCGGGAACTGCAGGAGAAGCAATAGATTGCCGATTGAAGATCGCCAGCTGCTCTAGCTTTCACCAGCAGGTGGAGATGGAATAATGTAAGATTTTTAACCCAGTAAACAGGCGAGAAAAAAGGCTAATAAAGGCACAAAAGTAGCATTCAATTTTAATATCAATGCCTTGGACATTATAAATAATAAAAAGTATGAGTAAAATGAGTAAATGAGGGTTTAGTCGTTTATATTTGCCCTTATGTAACGGAAGCCAGCTGGTGATCGCGTAAAGCTCACCCCTCGGATCCAGGGACAGACGTTGTTCTGCAATCTTATCGGAGCTTGTCTCCCATGCTGGCTCGATACCTGCTCGGACCGGTGCGGTTACTTGCACATAAACCGTCTTTTGATGAATATGATGTTACACATTGTCTATCTTTATTGACTCTTTCTTCCATAGACGCAAAGTATATTGACAGCTAAAGAATATAAACGTAAGAGAAACAGGAGAGGAAATATTATAATAATAATACAAAATAGATAAACATTGACAGGGCTAAGAACAATTACGAACAAAGATTTTCAAAACCAGAGAGATTTTATGAGAATGTCACAAAACAGTTTACTTGGAAATGTTAAACAGAGTTCAGGTATGATTTAAGGTTGGTTATGGATGGGGCGTCTGATTTAAAATAATTTTGCGAATGCAGAATGCAAAGTCGAACGAGTGGCAGCGAGCTCCGGTGGCCAGTCAGAGCCAGCGCCCCGCCACAGCAAACTGATTAAGAGATGCTGGATGGCTGTCAATATATGATAGGAATTCTTCCAAAGTTTCAGATGACATCTGGGCGTGTGCATAATAATGTAAAATGAAAGTGAAAGTCATGACATTTGGCCAAGCATAAGAATAGCCTACAAGAGTGTTTCGATTATTATATTAATCATGACATATGTCATGCTTGGGCTTATATGAATAACACCTCGCTGTTTACCATTTCCGAAAGTGGAGCTGACGTCGGCGCGAAATTGCTTGTATAAGTGTAAAAAGAGTGATGAATATTAATGGATTTCTTATATCTGTCATTTCTGATGATATAATTGATTTAGTGTGAGCTTATGAGTTTCCAACACAGCAAAAATGCATCCAGTATCCTAAACTAATAACTTTGTCAAGCAAAAATTTGGATTTTATAAGCTACTGATTTTTTTTTAAAAACAAGAAAAAAGAAACTATTAGCTACCCTAGCAATTGTTTATTTAAATATGATCATCTCAAAATATAAAATAAAAACATAATGGTTTGACTTTGTGAAATCATAAAACACACTTGCAGAAAAGAGTTATAAATGAGCAAAACATTCTCTCCAGTAGATGGCGATTAAAGCTCAGCCACGCATGTCAAACCACGCATTATAAACATTAATCTTATGAAACTAGCTCAAGTGACAACTATATTAAGTTTAAACCAGTTTAAATAAGTTTATATGTTTAATAACTGCAAAAAAGATCAACATTGCTAATCATAAAATACAAACGGTCGCTGAAAAGTTATAAATAACGGTTTTCTCGTTTAATAAAAACAAAGTCAGTTATAACTGCCTATTATCAAACCACAGGCGACTCGTTTTATTAGTTATCATTGGCTGCGACATTGCCACTTTTGCGTTATTACCTTTTTTCTCGCCTATAGGCTACATAACAATAAAACAATAATCTGGACAAACTAAGACATTTGGCAAACGTTTAACCATGGCAGAACCCCAAAAATTAGAAAAAATGTCATACAATAATAATATTAACAATCATAATAATAATTTAAATGATGAAAATGTATAACCTATCCCAATCCTGACACAGCTGCGTTTAAACTGCGCAAACATTACTCCTTATAGTTATGCCATATTAGTTCGGTTCTGTGTGAATAACTGAAGACGCCCCTTTAATGCATTCGCAAAATTATTTTAAATCAGACGCCCCATCCATAACCAACCTTAAATCATACCTGAACTCTGTTTAACATTTCCAAGTAAACTGTTTTGTGACATTCTCATAAAATCTCTCTGGTTTTGAAAATCTTTGTTCGTAATTGTTCTTAGCCCTGTCAATGTTTATCTATTTTGTATTATTATTATAATATTTCCTCTCCTGTTTCTCTTACGTTTATATTCTTTAGCTGTCAATATACTTTGCGTCTATGGAAGAAAGAGTCAATAAAGATAGACAATGTGTAACATCATATTCATCAAAAGACGGTTTATGTGCAAGTAACCGCACCGGTCCGAGCAGGTATCGAGCCAGCATGGGAGACAAGCTCCGATAAGATTGCAGAACAACGTCTGTCCCTGGATCCGAGGGGTGAGCTTTACGCGATCACCAGCTGGCTTCCGTTACATAAGGGCAAATATAAACGACTAAAACCTCATTTACTCATTTTACTCATACTTTTTATTATTTATAATGTCCAAGGCATTGATATTAAAATTGAATGCTACTTTTGTGCCTTTATTAGCCTTTTTTCTCGCCTGTTTACTGGGTTAAAAATCTTACATTATTCCATCTCCACCTGCTGGTGAAAGCTAGAGCAGCTGGCGATCTTCAATCGGCAATCTATTGCTTCTCCTGCAGTTCCCGGATGTAATGTTGAATTTTATCAGTCGAATTTGATCCACTGAATTTATGGAAGCGAATATTAGAACTGAAATAAAATGAACTGAAAATGACCTTTTGAATATTATACATCGTATTTTTAAAGGGTATTGAATATTTTGTAAGTGAAATCTGAAAATTGAATATGAATTATTGAATTTTTAAGTATGAAAACGTGTTTGAAATATTTTTCGTTGAAATATTCACAGCCTAAATAAACAGATATGTTAAATTTCAGGACCTAAAAATACAAACCCTGGAATTCAAGTCATTAAAATGCAATAACTTGTTAATACGCTGTATTATTTTTTTCAGTTTGTGATATTCAACAAGCTTTTTAATTCAAGACTTTAGGCATTGATTTTGTTCCATAAGTGTCACACTGTTAAAAAAAAAATAACAATGTTGTATTGGCCTACTGTATGAAGCAAATAAAATTAAACAAAACATCACATCATTTGTTTCAGAAAATGAATATGCAACAGGCCCACAGTGAGCCTGGTGTAAGGGGTGGTACTTTTCTTTAAAAAATGTAGCTTTTTGCAGTTATACGCCTCATTTTCTATTAAATTATGTTTTATTACTATTTGTTTAAATACTGCATTTAGTGACATTTTAAGCACTTTTTTTTGCTTGAATAGCTTGTTGGATGGTCATCATAACCACACTTTTTGATGTACCAAAAACATTTACTAAAGATTTACATAAATTATCATTTACATAATATATTCATCAACAAAAAATAGGAATCTGTTTAGGATTTGAATTAAAAACTGTAGCCTGTTGTTATTTAAATATAATTAATTTAAATAGCAAACTGGTCAGGACATTAAACTTTCCTTGGTGACACTGAAGCGACATCCAACACAGGATTCCGCTTGATGTTAAAACCTTTTTTAATAGATTATTTTCGCAATTTATTATGGCACAGCAGTCAAAATATGACAAATGAGCTAATGTATGGGAAAAATTCTGGACCTTTGTCATTGAGGGGTAGGTTTTTCGAACCACCCTATCCCCCCTGGCTACAGGCCTTGTCTTGACTTCCATATGAAAGCATGTGGCTGTCAGTTTTAGACATGGCTGGACTTTGCTCTGTAGCGCCCCCACACCTTGATGCTCATGACAAGAATAGCATGTGTAGTTTTTTTTTTTTTTTTTTTTTGTGAGGTTTAAATCACTGTCGTGCATGAATGAATGAAAAATTAGCACTTTTACACATAATAATTTATGATCACATTACACAACTTGAAACCGCACGTCAAAATAACACATTGTCAATTTTTTTGAGTCCCCCAAAATTTCACAAATCATGTTGTCAGGGGACCCGAACTCCCATAGCTCACTGTAGTTCGCACCCTGGAGGCAATACATTACATTGAAATGTATAAATAATTGCATTTCATTCCTAGTTCACACTTAGTCTTACTATCATGTCAAGAAATAAGCGTGGTTTTCACTACACTACACAAATCAGGCGTTAAATGTCATAAAAATACTTTTGATCGAAAACAAATGAATTCTCAAAGTATTATGTATTACAGTATGCTTTCTCTCAAGAAGATTAAAATATCTGTCAGACGCGCTGGTGAAATGTGAGAATATCGATCTGTGCGTCACTCTGAAAAGGGCACGTCTGAGCACTGTCAGCATCCGCCAGTCTGTAAATATTCCTCTCCCACTGCTTTTTTTTCCAGATTACCCCAATGGAGTGCGTCTCACTTCAGCTCTTCCAGGCGCAGACATCAAGGTTCTCATTAACTTCAATGCCCCAAACCCGCAAGACCGTAAGAAGTTCACTGATGACCTGCGTGAGTCCATCGCAGAGGTGCAGGAGATGGAGAAATACAGGATAGAGTGTAAGGCTGTCAAGGCTTTCATTACGCTAAAGAAGGGCTGTCAAACTCAAATTAGAACAAGGGCCGGTTTGGTGAAAATGTCCCCCAATCAGACCTTAGTTTCCTCATAATTACATTATTATTAATCATATTAACCACAACATAATTTTAAGAATTTTCTAGCTCATTTTAGGAGTATTTGAACCAACCCTGTTCCTGGAGGCACACCAACATATAACCTTTTCTGACCTATTAACTTCAGTTTTTGGAGTCTCTTCTTATGTTCTGATTAGTTGATTCAGGTGTGTTTGAATATGTGTACTGTTGGTGTGCCTTCAGGAACAGGGTAGGGAAACACTGATTTAGACTAGGGTTTTCAAAAGTATCCACTATAATATAAGTATATGATTATAATATTATAACAGACATTATTGAAGCAGATATTATGTTGCACATTCCGAGCTCCTCTACTTTTTTTACACTAAAATGTGCGAATACACTTTATTTAAAAAATAAAAAATAAATAAATAAATATACATACATACATACATACACACACACACACTTGAAATCAGAATTATTAGCCCTCCTGTTTATTTTTCCCCCAATTTCTGTGTAATGGAGAGAAGATATTTTCAACACATTTCTAAACATAATAGTTTTAACAACTCATTTCTAATAACTGATTCATTTTACATTTGCCATGATAACAGTAAATAATATTTTACTAGATCTTTTTCAAGACACTTCTATACAGCTTAAAGTGACATTTAAAAGCTTAACTAGGTTAATTAGGTTAACTAGACAGGCTAGGGTAATTAGGCAAGTTATTGTACTATTATGGTTTGTTCTTTAGACTATCGAAAAAATATAGCTTAAAGGGGCTTATAATTTTGACCTTAAAATGATTTAAAAAAATTAAAAACTGCTTTTATTCTAGCCGAAATAAAACAAATATTTCTGACTTCAACTGTATATATATATATATATATATATATAGTTAAAAATACATACACAGTATATTATTATTGCCACCTGTATGGAAATAGAAACAATAAATGTAAACACATATGAATTAACAGTAAATCTGGTGTGTTTTTTTATTCCAGCTGAATTGGAGAAGCAGAAAGGTGTAGTCCGTCCTAGCATTTCACAGAGCTCAGGGTTGAAAAAAGAAACGGGGAACGGCAATTTGAGTCGGACCAGTCTGGATGATAGCTATGCCATGGGGGAAGGCCTGAAGAGAAGTGCCCTCAGCAGCTCCTTACGTGACCTTTCAGATGCAGGTGAGTTAACTGATCCACTGTAAGACATGACATGTGTCTTTGGCTTTATCTGTGTTACCCTCAGGTTATTTTGTGCAGTCTTGTCTGAACAATATTTCACTTCTTGCCAAAGTAGAGCGCTGAATGCTTGCTTCTAAATTGGTGTTTGTCCACAAATATTAGCGTAGTCTTGATTATATAGCAATTAGAGCTGGGTGGTATTTAAATGTTACTGAGTGCTATTTAATTATACCCTTTTAAACTATTTTTATATTTAGGTTATTTTACCTTGATTTTTTAGCAGTGTTTGTTATTGTTAACTAAAAACCAAAAGTATTAAAATACTTTGCAATAGTTGAAAAAAATTAAATAATACATCTAATAATAATAATAATAATAATAATAATAATAATAATAAGATATTAAGTGAAAACAGAATTGGCAAATAAAAATGTCTCTACTGAAATTAATAAGTATTATTATTATTAAATATTTTTTATTTTAAATTTAAGTATTTAAATATTTTGATTGTTTTATATGATGCTAATAATTATGATATTAATAATAAGTTTATTATCTTACTCATATAATTCTAGTACTTATTAGAAATATTATCATATTGGACTAACCAATATCACCCAGCCCTATAATGAATCTCCCTCACCTTGTCTAACAAAGCTAGTTGCATCCTGCCAGGAAAATTATCCTCCAGATTAGTTTTTCCCACTCTTTAATTGAAACTTCACACATTTCACAAGCTGAGATGTTTTCTCGCCCTTTCTAGCAGAACGTTTTGAGCCCTAAACATGGCAGTCACTACACAGGGGAAAAAAAAAACGAGTGGTGTGAACTTGCATGCTTTCTGTTTTGGAACAAACATTTAACAGTCTAGTCTCACAGTGTTAGTGTGAATTGAATTTCAGGCATTGCATTTGTGAACCTGAGAGATAATTGGCGAAAGCTACAAACAACCCAATTCAACAATCCAGAGAAAACAGCACTGAAAATGTATGCAGCTACGTTTGAATGATGTGTTAAAGGGACAGTTAGTTCATCCAAAAATAAAAAAGTCTGTCATCATTTACTCACCCTTCACCTATTCCAAAGCTGTTTGACTTTCTTTCATCTGTTGAACATGAGAATATATTCATGGATTTTTGTAGTATTTTTCCCCTAACATGGATGTCAATGGTTACCGGTTTACAACATTTTTCAAATTAATTTTCTGCGTTCAATAGATGAAAAAAGTTCACAAATGTTTAAAACTACTTGAGGGAAAGTAAATTATTAGTAAACTTTTATTCTTGAATAAACAAATTATTTAAGGTGAAAGTACATGTATAGTAGTTGATTATCATCACTCAGTTGTTTATTGATTATTTCAGGCTGATAATTGTCTCATACTGCCAGTCTGGGCTGCGACATTTGTATTTGTCCATACATCAAAGAATACTAAAGATTATTTTTTGCTCTTTATGCTTGTTTTGTGTAGATGCTTTTGTGATGTAGTTTAGGGATTACAGGCTGCATGATATTGCAAAATGAAAGTGATATTTCAATATTTACTTTACTTTAAAATTAAGAAATATAGTAATGTTCACCAGATGACAGCACTTGTGAACCTGAAGGTTAAATATTAGTATTACAAATATATATAATTGAATTCAGAATTATAAGCCCCTTTTGAATTTCTTCTTCTTTTTTAAATATTTCCCAAATGATGTTTAACAGAGCAAGGACATTTTCATAGTATGTCTGATAATATTAATCAAACTTTCTTGAGAAAGTCTTATTTTATTTATTTTCTTTTTTTAAACATTTTAAGGTCAAAATTATTAGCCCCTTAAAGCTATTTTTTTGATAGTCTACAGAACAAACCATCATTATACAATAACTTGCCTAATTACTCAGTTAACCTAATTAAGCTAGTTGAGCTTTTAGATGTCTCTTTAAGTAGATAAGTGTCTTGAAAGATATCTAGTCAAATATTATTTACTGTCATCATGATAAAGATAAAATAAATCAGTTATTAGAAATGAGTTATCACATTTCTATTATGTTTAGAAATGTGTTAGAAACAGAATTGGGGAAAAAATAAACAGGGGGGCTAATAATTCTGGCTTCAACCGTATTTGTGCAGCATTAATTACTCTATAATAATAAGTTGAGGTTTAAATGAGAAAGTTTTTTTTATTTTAATCTGTACTTATTTAAAACATTTTGTGTTATTTTTCTCCAGGTATCTCTATCAGTAACCATAATATGATGTTAGTTCTTATATAGAGCCCATTCCCACTACTTTGACTGATATACTGTAGGATGAAATAGTAAGTTATTTTATGATTAATTAAATTCAAACTATTTCATCCATTTATACTGTACTGCATACTAAAATGCTAATTGCTTATTAAGACATAGATAATAAGTATTACTTATATATTAAAATCAATTACAATTGTTTTATTTTGAAGTACAGCTGTACATTTAGAAAAATAATGTTGAATGTTTTTAGGTCATTGATAAAATGCCAATAGTTACTGCCAACAACACAATCTTATATGTCTTATCAAGCAAAACAATGTTCACAACTGCTTATAAATCAAGTTCCTGACATATTATGACACATAGGCTGCATCCCAATTCGCATACTTATACTACGCCCTAAAAGTGTGTTCTATTTTTGTGAAGGAAAAGTATATACTATTGAGTGTCTAACAGAAGAGTATGCAAGCTTTGGGACATGCTACTTCCACATTAACAGATGTGTTGCTTAGTTATGTCCCCTGTCAATCATCTTGACACAGCAGCAAGATAATCTGCCATTCATTAGTCTTTCATGCTAAGAAATCTCTTCAGGTCTTTGGATATTTATGCATTCAGAAGTTTACGGTATAAGTTCACGTTATTGCAGATGAAACATAACACAAAAAATGTGACATAAAATATTTTCCAGTAGGCTAGATATTAATTAATAGTCATAAAAAACTACTTTACTGAGGCCTCTCCTCTTGACAGTTGCTCTTTTGTGCGTCCACCATGTTTGTAGTTTATTTATTTAGAGTTTGTAGTTCTAAATCAAATTAATGTCCATCATGCAATGAATTGTGGGCAATATTAGCGGTTAGAGTATGGACACTTCTACACTTTGATTTTTTTATCGGAAATAATTAACCATTTGGGAACCTTTGGCATACTCTTTTCAACATAGTACGATTTGGTATATAATAATTCGATTTTCAATTACTGTTTAAAACGGATAGTATGCGAATTGGGATGCAGCAATATCGTTTTACCTCCATTTTGTTTTTGCTAGTTATTTACTCTGTAATAGCTAGTATCCAATGATTTGCATTGTATGCATCACAAAGCACCACATAAATTGTTAACCCATAATCCAATATCAGCTTCAATATCAATACATCTCGCAGCGCAAATAGGAATCTTCAGCTTCCTCATAGTCATCAAAACCCAGTTGCTTATTGGCGCTTCGAGATTCTGAATGTGTCAAATTAGTACCAGTATATACCCTCATCCTCTGGCCCTTTAAAAGCTCCCAACCCAAACCCTCCCTTTATCAGAGCATATCTGCCTGCTTGGTGTCTCAATAGCGCCCCTGTAGGCAGGCAGGATATATACGCCTCTATATATCTGACTGTTCGAGCGTGCTCTAATCTATCATATTGCATGTCTCGCTCAGGCAAGCGGGGGCGCCGCAGCAGTGCAGGATCTCTAGACAGCAATATGGAAGTAAGTACTGTGATTTAGGACGCAGGACCCCACAACAGGACGCTATTCTGTGACAACGTTTTGCGACTTTGCTGTATTTATTTTCTCTAGTCTGCCTGCCATCTTTTCTTTTTCGCTCAGTAGTTTCAGCTGCCTGTGTGTGTGTGGTGTTGTTTTTGGACCATGTAGGCCACCCTGCATGCATGGGCCGCCTGTTTCTTGTGGAGTTTATGTGGAATGAGGGGGAAATTCTGACCCCGTGGCTCACATCACATATCATAACATCTCTACGGTGCAACTTAGTCAGCATGACTCAACTAATGCAAACATCCCATGTCACGTACCATGGGGCTCTGTGAGTGTGTGTGTGTGTTTTATTTTGCAAATGGTTTCGATTTGATTTCTGGTGGCATGTTTCACTTGGCCGCTTCAAGTGAACGATCGGATGTTGCGTTGTAGTGTTCATTTCCTCATAACCACTTGACCTCTTCCTCTCCTTCACCTTTTTTTTTACCTCTTGGAATGCCTTGAAATTGTTTCCCACTGTTTGTGCGGAGAAGCAATATAAACACAAGGGAGTATAGCATAGCAAAGGTGATGCTTTAACACATTGGATTGTCATCTGTTTGGGTCTATCATGTGTGTTGGTTTGATTGGCAGTCTTGCAGGATGGTCAATATGCTCGCTTTAACATCACTAAACGCTGACTTATTCAATCTTGCCTGTTTCAGCTTCTGCATGTAATGCATGGCTTTCAGGGAATCTGATTCAGTCTTTTTTGAATGCATTAACTGTTGATGGATGCTCATGATGCATTTCTTTGAGTGCTGTGTCCTTGTTTTATAATACTGACTTAAATGGGATACTTTTAGAGTACTTTATATGAGATACTGTTTGTGGTATAAGCAATGCTTTACTAATGTTAAGGTTTTGGGGTTAAAACAATATACAATACAATATTTGGATTTTGATAATAATAAATTTAAAAAGCACTTTAATAAACCTTTCCATCAACAAACCTTTGAATGATGTTGTATCTGTATATATGTACAGTGGCATATATAAAATATATATTAATAGAAATAACAATTGTTTTAAAATCATTCATTAAAGGTGCAGTATGTAAGTGTGACACCCAGTGGTTGAACTAGGTATTGCATTCCTGGATCAAAACATATGCAAGCACAGATTGCCAGATTGGGGACCAACAGGAGTGGGGCTGAATATCGAGCCTAAAGGCTGGTTTAAATTGTGTTCTAAATAAAAGCAACGCCACGTGATAGAAGGAATATTTTCCATATTAAAAGGAGTTTTTGTCCTAACCAGCTGAAATCAATATTTAAGAAACGGCTACTATTTTTTGCACATTTGCAGCTGAACAACAGAAAACTTTGATTAAAGCACATGAGGTGTACCTGAGGTGATTACTGTCAGTGTTAAATGCTAATAAAGTGAGTTTGAATGCCATTTTACATGGCATTTACTGCTATATACTGAAAGCAGCAGCAGATAGTTTATCTCAGATATTGAAAATAAAATATACCGTTTGAAATTGATCTTTAGAACTGCGAATCATTGCAAGCCAACACAGATCAGTGATTCAGCATGTGCACTTAATAATATTAAAGAGGTTTAATGTGTACTAATTAGATTTTAAACCTAACAAGTTTCGTGTTTTCGCTTGCAGTAAGTGAACTATTCTATGCTTCTAAATAGCTGTATTTAAATTTCTGTCATGTTTTGTCTTGTGCAAACACCCAATTTGCTTATCACTGCAAATTGTTTTATGTAGCGTGTTGTTAGGACACACGGTTACAATATAACCTGCTCACCTAATGTTTACATACGTAATATTTATATTATTTACTAATTAATAGTTTCATGTGGAACTCTAAATCTGCATCTCTTTTCGGGAGTCTGCTACTGTCCACCGAAGGTTGCATTTTGGTCATGGACGCAATGCGTTGAGAGCCTTTATGACTGAATTAATGAAATACAACGTTTTCCAACAAGGCAACCTGGGGTGCTGAAATATATTTGGCTAAACTGGCAATGGGGGGGTTAAAAGAACCAAAATAAAGACAGCATTCCGGCACGGAAAACACATTTTCAGAGCTGAATATCTGACCTCAGCATTGTTTTTAAGATGAATGTTCACTTCGCATGTTTCTTAAATATCTGCAAACATATTGGCATTTTTATGCTTTAGAAGAGTCAAAAACTTACATACAGCACCTTTAAATTCTTTTTAAATAATTTATATTTACCTTTAAAAATGTTGGACTTTTCTAACATTTTAAGGTTCCTGTTTATTTTAAATAAATAGTTCTAAATTTGTGTATATAACTACTCAAATCTTAAGAATAACTAGTCAGTAAGGTGGATTGAAACGTGACAAAAATTATTAATTCAGTCAAAAATAAAATTGACTGAGTTAGCCATTAGACTGATTCAAATCAACAACTCTTGAGTCCAGGACTAATCCTTTTAAGGATACACTAAAAAACTGGCTTATAAGGGTGATTTGGTAATAAATTAGACTTTGCTGGTCAATTAACAAAAAATATGGTAGAAAAAAATTTGTATAGTTTTTTTCCCAGTAGTTTTCTGAATTATTGTTTCCCAAGCCTAAATATTAAACATTTACATGAAACCTTTAACATTTAAATCACATTTAAATGAACAATGTGAAAAGGCTCTAGAATCACTGAGCATGCTGTAAATATCTTGTGTTTAACTTCACTGTTTTCTCTCTCTCTTATCCTCTTATAGGGGTCCATCATTAGCAGCCCCCACATACGGCGAAGAGCCACTTCCAGCCGCGACTGTCCCTCCCGCCAGCAGTCTATCCCCAATTCCTCCTCTCTGCTGGGTTCTCTATTCGGCACCAAACGAGGCAAATCTCCCTCCCTGCCATCCCAGTCGTCCCACCCTTCCCATCCAACACTCATCTCTCACACCCCTCACCCTTCTAACCTGCACCACACGGCCCGCGACGGCGTCACCGTCACCGAAACCCAAGCCCAGATGCACCCGCACCACGCTCAATTCTGCCACATGCAGAATCCCCCTCCGTACCACCACCACCATCACTACCACCCTCCAGCGCACATCCAACACCCACCCCACCAGTACCACCCTCCACCCGGCCCCTCATCCTCTCACAGCCACTCACACAGCCAACACGGCCACGGTCCGCATCCGTCCCACTCATCCCACCCGTCCCACTCCCAGCATGCACCACACCACCACAGCCAGCCTCCAGCGCCTCCACCCGCGGCCAGCAGCACCAAGCCCAAACACAGCGGCATCAGCACTGTGGTTTGAGCCACTCCACGAACTCTTTCCACTCGGGAATGGGACTGTTTTAGATCGTTGCTGCGAACAAAAGGGCACCTTGACTCACGTTTCAACCCATCCAGCGCCCGTTTCCCACTGGAAGGGGAGCCACACTGTGTAGCACCGGCCTTCAGGGGGGACGGCTAGAACTCAAATCATCAGTTCTTACCAAGTCATCGCTCAAGCTGTAGAGCCCCAGACAAAAACTGCGGCTGCTGCTTCTTTTAGGCTCGATTTTAGAGACTTTGGACCCTTTCGACGTTGGCGGTGAAGCAAAGAGCATGCGCAAAAAGACCGTGGCAACTGTTTTCTTGTACTTAATTACCTAAAATGCATTATCAAAAGTAGCCTGCTTATTAGTTTGCAGAGACGACAGGGTCTGTCGGATTCGGTCACAACGAGTGGTGTTCCAGTATTTAATGTAGCTGTAGACCACACATTTCTGTGATAGAGATTAGGGGACTATAACGTGCCAATTATTAAAAAGCAGTTGAGTGAGTTATTCAAAAAAGAAAAGATTTGCTTTGTGTATGTCGTGCATATAGTATTTTGTAAAATAATGATAATAATATTAGCAGCTATTATTATTATTGTTATAGAACAAAAATGATCCGAAGCCTCAGAATTAAAAAAAGAAAAAGAAAAAAAACAACTCTCAGTATTCTCTGTGTACTCTCGACGTAGTTTTCCACTCAGTAGGTGGCCGATTGATTAATATGGAAATTATTGGTTGCCTTTGGAGCTGGAAGATTCTTCCCGAATCTCCAGCTTGTGTTCGCTCCGCCTCCTTTTTGGGGATCCACGTAGCGCAAACCAATCACAGGGACTGTAGGAAGTCATTGATGGATCCTCCACGGCCTCGACTCGTCGGGCCACTGCTGCAACATGGTTTTATTTTTTTAACTATTTTTTTAGAGATGAATAAAACAATATGAAATAATTGTACATTTGAAGATGTTTATGGTAAAGCCGGCGCGCGCGGCGGAGAAGGCTATTTTGACGTAGCGTTTGTGTCCGGAGAAATCTGATGGAATTCTCTCCCCATATTTCAAGAGTTAGTTTGTGCAGAGATGTTGATTTTTCTCAGCAGGCTGAGCGTGTGTGCCCTCTCCTGCGTGGAAATGATGTAGATTTGATACATTTTTCTTCGGTCCTCCTGTGAGAATGCCTTTCACTTGCTCAGAAACACAGCTAATGTAATGTAATCTAATGTAATGTAACTGCATATAATATGCAGCAGTGGGTCGGATGGATGTGTTCTCGCTCGGAACGGATTTGGACATGTTCTTTTTTTTTTCACACATATCCCCCTTTCTCGGTTCAATTTTTGACTTGTTTTATACTGTAAGTAAATCAATGGTGACAGAGCTGTGATTCGATGTAATAGTTTTGTGTGTCGACGCTCTCTTTTAACTCAAGCACAGAGCTTCTGAACAGCACTTGTCTTTGTAAATATTCACTTAATGTACAGAAACCACGGCTGAAATGAGCTCGTTCTCTAATACGAGACCCTTGTGGCATTTGCTGTGCGATGTTTCTCTTGTTTCTGATTCCTTTTTGTTTCGTTTTTTAAATTAATCATGTGCAATATGTATGTTTCAGTTTTGTAAATTCAGAATTGCGACCAACCTGTTTGTTCGTTTGTCGTTTTTAATAATTTCTAATATCATGCATAAAAAAAAAACATTTTATGTTTCTCGCCCCCATCGCCATCTTTGTTGGTCTCTGTTTTACCTGCAACCTACAGTCAGGAATGTCAACTAAAGTACTCTTTGCATGTATAGTGTACAAAATAATCTCTAGATATTGCATACTTCCAGAGATATTATCAGTGTTACAGTTGACCGTTGTTAAATGAGTGATGATGACGATGATGATGATCATATTAAAATCTGTAGACTTCTCTTCATTCAAGACGTCTGTATCCTGTTTCGTACTGAAATAGATTCAATTAGGACACATCTGTTTGTTTACCTGGGCTTAAAAATCAAATACCGATCGTCAAATAGTGTTTAAACCAACGTTAGCCTAATCGTAATCAAGCGCCACCAGAGAACATTAGTATAATAATAGAAGCTTATGGATATTAGAGCATAAATCTGTGTCTATATCAGACTTCATAACACCTGGCTTGTTCCCAAGATACACCGAGGCCAGTAATTTGTACAGAACACCATTAATCAGACTGTGTATGATCATCTGAAGCCATTTCTGACTAAACAACCAAATGAGTACGTCTCTTTCTACATTTTTTTTCTCAACTTTGTGTTGATTGTTTTTTTTTTTTTTTAAGGATTTCAGTGCAGTGTTTTTGTAAATGTAATGTGGTGCTTCAGCTTTGTACTGTATCGGACAAGTCAAAATGTCACAAAGCTTTTGCATGCAGCTGATGCCTAGCACCTCTGGTTGAAATGTAAGCTTATTTAAAAAAACGAAATGAAGAAATGTGCTTTCTTTTAATTATTATTTTTTTTCTAATATTATGTTTGTTTGTTTGTTTGTTTGATTGGTTGGTTTTATTATTTCATTTAAGCTTGCTGTTACATTTTACACCGTGCCACAGCATTTTCGGCATGTATATCACTTGTTGTTTGCCCTCCTAAAACAGATCATTTCTTTCTTCCCTCATGTAAAATCACTGTATATATCACAAACCAATGTGAGAAATTAGAAAGCATATCATATATAAATCTAATATGGATGATAAAGGGAAAGTCTAAGGGGGTTTAGCGTGTACATAGCCTGTATTATACTTTTTTGTTTTTCACTCAGTCATCGCATCGACGGTGTAGTCCTTTTCCACTTTCAAGAGACTCATAATAACACTGCTTCTGCTACCAAATGTACTTTGAATTTGTCATAGGATCTTCTTTAATAAGCCGACTGTTACATGACTCTCACCGCCTTCCACTCAAACATTCATTTCATTTTTTTTTTATTACCAAACGAGGAGAGGAGAACTATGGTTTTAATATGCATTCTGTTTCTAAGTAGATGACGAGACCCTATTGATGTTTAACTATAACTGTGACCATGTTGAGAACATGAAATAAAACAATATACCATCAAATTTCTTAACTTGTGTTGTCTACGTTATAGCACAACCACATTGAGTTTTGAATGCATGTTCATTTTGGGGTGGATTTCAGATGTACTGCTATATGGTGCATGAGAAATTCCTTTCAGAACTCTCCAAGGCCATGTTAAATTCAATAGCCATGTACATTTGAGTTAGTGAGATCATTGCATAACTGGTTTTATGAAAGGTTTGGATGTTCTTAGAATCTTTATGCTGCAAAAGTCTCTTATTCTGACCTATTTTAATCATATTTTTGGGTAAAAGTGATTCAAATAAAGCATTCTGTCTGTGAATAATTGGTAGGTTCATCTGAGTATGCTTTGATCAGCTTGAGTTTCTTATTATCTCTATGTCTGTGGATGTCAGACTTGAGGTCTGTACTTTGGAATTATAAATGTGAAATATATTCGCAGCTGTCAACACGTATAAGGTTTGAAGAGCATGAACATATGAAGAGTCAAAACATCACACAAATGCTTTAAATATATAACTGAAATCACTGTTCAAAATGCATTGGTGTTACAAAGGATCTGCATTTCAAATGTATACAGTTCATTTTAAACTTTGTATTTATAAAATAATTGTTTGTAACTTTGTTAATAAGAAGAAAATGTTTCTGAAGAACCAAATCAGCATATTAGGGTAATTTCTATAGGATCACCTGACACTGAAAATGCTGAAAAACAGCATCATGTGGAAATAAATAATTTAGTTGTAATAATATTTATCAATATTACTGTATTTTAATAAAATTGGCTGAATACAGCCTTGACCAATTTAAGATATTTCTCAAAAACAAACTATTTCTACCAACATCAACCTTTTGCATCAATGAAATAATGTTGAACTAAAAATAATGTTCCATCATGGCTATTTTAGGTTATTATTTTGCATTATAATATACTGCTTCCAGTATGATGCTGGGCAGTTGTTTTAAGACATTTTAATGGTATACACAGAACATTTCATTGTGGTTATTATTTTGCAATTATAAAATAGCATTCACAGAATGTTTTAAACTTTTTATTAAATTGATAAAACAATTTTGTTAATTGATATAACTGTTTGTTTGTTTGAGTGTGTGTATATGTGTGTGTAAATAAATTAAAAAAAGCCTAAGTGTACCACATGAATCTATTAAATATTACACAGTAACAGACATAAATATTATTAAATTATGATAGCACTCTAATTATTTTATTTACCAAAATAAATGGTTTTATTGACCAAAATACACAAACTAAAAACACAAAATTTTGCTTAACAACATGCAAACCATAAACGAAAAGAACGTTCTGGATACTAAAAACAAGCCTAATGTTTCCAGAAGCGTTCAACTTATTAATAAGAAAATGTTTCTGAAGAATCAAATCAGCATATTAGGGTTTTTTCTAAAAGACATTCTGACACTCAAAATGCTGATTGCAAAATTGGCTTAATACAGCCTTGACTAATGTAAGAGATTTCTCAAAAACAAACAAACCTTACCAACACCAACCGTTTGCATTGGTGAAATAATGTTGAATTACAAATAGCTCGGTTATTATTAATAGGTTATTGTTTTGCATCATAAAATGCTGCTTCCAGAATGATGCTGGGCAGTTTTTAAAGAATAAACTTTAATAAATGAATAAAGTCTACACACAAATAATTTCCTCATTGTTATTTTAAGGTTATTATTTTGCAACCATAAAATAGTATTCACAGATTGTTTCAAAAATAACCTAATAATACAGAATGTTCCCTTTTGCTTATTTTAAGTAAAAATAAAATCCCTATAACATTTTGATACACAATTAAACTTGGGAATGTTCCCAGAAGTAACCCAATGGGAACCAAACAGGAACGGTGTTGGTGGGGTTAATTAATAAAATTGTTTATTTTCGTGAAAATAAAAAGCCTATACATACCACGTGAAATCTGTTAAATCCTACACAGTAGACTACAAGACATAAAAATTATTTAATCGTCCATGTGATGATGCTCTAATTATTTAATTTACCAAAGTGGTTTTAGTGACCAAATTAAACAAACTGAAAACACAAATTTTAACATGCAAACCATAAATGAAACAGTATCAAAAACGAGCCTAATGTTTCCAGACGGTTCTGTAAACCAATATTTCTTTTAGCAGAGATGGTTGACAACCTCATAATTTTTGTTTTGATAAAGATGTTTTGAGTGTTTGTTTGGATAAACTATTTCTTATGCATGTGACCTACCGCAGACAGGTGGTGAGAAACGGACTCTGTGCCCTTTCGTCTGTGTCTGTCTGGCTTGCTGTGGGCTAAAAATAGAGCAGCTTTGAGGGTTAAATCCTCAGTGTCAACACCTACGACGGCCTCGCTGCCAAAGAAGGTTTACGACAAAGGGACAACTGAATATTATTGTTGAGTAATTTTATCAATATCTGAAAGAAAAACTCACATAAATCTATGCAGGAGTTAAGATCAATTCAGTTACATTTTCACCGAGCATTGAAATGAAAAGCGATTGTGTTATGCAGCTAAACACTGACATCTGCAGGCCATAAAATGAACTGCTCGCAAGTGGACTAGTGACGTCATCAATGTGAGACGAAAACGGGTGAAAGGTGTTTCAGTGTGAGTCGTAGGGTGATTCGTAATTAGGGTAAATATCAACGTTGAAGATGAGCCTGAACAAATTTATTGTTTTGTCAAGATCTGTAAGGCGTGGGAGGAATTTATTCGCTGTTCGTGTCGCGCAAACAGGAGAATATCTTTATCAGTTTCAGTCGCAGCGCTTCATTAGGTCCAGCTCGAGGAGTTTAGCTTATGCAAAAGATCTGTTCCTGGGCAAAGTTAACAAGGTAATGACAACAAACTGCAGAATTATTTTTTCATGTTAATGCGTAAGTAACTGGCATATCTGTCTTTAAGTATACTATCACTTGAGCAAAGGCATAACATCGTTTGCTGTAATTGTTGTTACTATTTTACGTAACGTTAGTTTAAATAAAACTGTAATAAAAATCGAATTGTTCTTCAAATGGGGATGAGGAGGAGGATCCTTATAATTACAGTTTTTGAAAAAAATGTCGTTTTAATGACAAATGTTTCTTACAAATCTTTTAGAAAGAAGTGTTTCCCTATCCAGAAATCAGCAATGAAGAATTAGAAGAGTTAAACCAGTTTGTTCAGCCTGTGGAAAAGTTTTTCAATGAAAGTGGTTGGTATTTTGTATGTTTTTGTTAATTCAAGCTTTCTTTTCATATAATGTATTAGTTTACGATACTAAGTAGAACAGTGTTTGTCTGAAGAATGTATGGTAAAAAGTTAGCTTTAAATATTTAGTAACAGTTTCTCTATTTGTGCACACACAAACACTATATATATATATATATATATATATATATATATATATATATATATATATATATATATGTGTTTGTGTGTGTGTGTGTGTATGTATGTATGTATATGTATATATTTATATATATATATATATATATATATATATATATATATATATATATATATATATATATATATATATATATATTATCCTGTATTTTCAGCATCATTTATTATGCGAGTATTTTAGAAATATTTTGTAACATACAGAAATGTATTTACTTTGTATTTGTATGTCAATGTATTTATGTCACTTTTAATCAAATACAAAAAATAGGCACTAAGCTTTTGAAAGTTTATGTTTATAATGTTAGTAATGATTATGAAAAGAAAATTAAATCTTTTTCAATTGAATTACTTGATCTTCACATATTTTGATTTCCTGAAGCGAAATAAAGACTGGAGTAATGATGCGAAAATTCAGCTCTTGTTTTTTTTGTTTTTATTACAAGATAATTACGATTTATTTATACTAATCTACTGTGTTTGTTAGTTTTGACTCCATGTAACTTATTTTCTTTAAACTTTTTGAGACCTGAAATTAATCTAAGACCTGAATCACAAAAATAAGTGATATTTTTAGTGGTTTATTTATAAACTGATTTTGAGAGATCTCGTGCTTATGATTGACCACAGCTAATCTGCATTAGCTAACACATGATTCACCAATCAATCAGACCATTCATAAGTCACTATAAATAACCAGAGTTTTTAAACCTCAGTCACCTTCATTTTGAAGAATCCCCCTTTCCACCCCTATTCCTCCTCCTTTTGCCTAGATAGATAGGGTGACATAGTGGGCCAGTTGTTCGCACTGTTGCCTTACAGCAAGAATGTCTCTGGTTCAAGTCCGTACCAGGCCAGTCAATATTTCTGTGTGGAGTTTACATATTCTCCCTGTTGCTCCCTGTGCTGTTTACATGTTCTCCCAAGATCCCCGGTTTCCCTGCCATTTAAAGACAAGCAATATAAGTGAATTGACTAAACCAAATTAGCGCTATAGATGAGCTTTTAGTCAGCAGTGTTTCTCTTCATAGCAATCCCTAATTTGTCATTAGCCATAAATAAGCAGGGGAGTTCTCGAGATCTACCTGATCTCAAACTCCCCTCTCGCCCTGCAAATTGGAGGAAACCTCAGGCTTGAGGATCTTTTGTACTTAGGGCTCTTTCCCTGGACAGCATGCCAACTAAGCTCTATAATCAATCATTAGCTAAGTGTGAACTCTTGAAACCTTATTCAATTAGAAAACGGTTCTTTTACATTTTCGCTGTATTACCAATTTTGCTGTATTTTGCACCACATAAACACTTCAGATATAGAAAGTATTATATCTTAAATATTTTTTAAACAATAGTGTATACTGTTTTTACCTGATATTAGCTGGTACGATTTCTTTTATCTTCCTCATAAAAATACAGAGGTTTTTCATTTTCTTGTACTTGTGCAAATACCACCTCTAGTTGACTCTGCGAAGATCGATAGGGAGGCCAATATTCCCCCTGAGACTTTGGATGGACTAAAAGAACTGGGTCTGTTTGGGATCCAGATACCTGAAGAATATGGTGAGGCTGACCTCCGACTTCATACGAGTCACACGTCTAATACTCCATCAGAAAGTTTCATCTTTATGTTTGCCTGTTTCCTCCTCCAGGGGGCCTGGGACTCTCAAACACCATGTATGCCAGGTTAGGAGAGATCACGTCTTTAGATGGGTCTATTGCAGTCACACTTGCAGCACATCAGGCCATCGGCCTGAAGGTGAGTGAACAACTTTAGGTGCTGCATAAAATACTGTTATTTTAAGGAAAATTTGCATAATGCTTTTTACATTTTAGGGTATATTAATAGCTGGAACGGATGCTCAGAAAGCAAAATATCTGCCCAAACTAGCAACAGGAGAACATATAGCAGCTTTCTGCCTCACCGAACCTGGAAGGTATGCTATTTAACCTGAAATTAAAATCTTCCCTTTTCCAAATCAGCTTTGGTTATATTTGATCAAATATATGTGTTTTAGTGGCAGTGATGCTGCATCTATACAGCTGAGAGCCACGCTAACAGAAGATGGGAAGCACTACCTGCTCAATGGCACAAAGGTGACTTTACACCAGATTTTAAAATTTAGTCAATCCAATCACAAGTAATTGACATTAAGTGCAGTGTAAATGGGATTTGAAAGAATTTAAGCTTGTCTACTTCCAAAAACATCCAGAGGTAGTCATAAATGCTTAATTCTGGATTGATTTTGTAATGTAAACACTCCTATGGGGGAATGTGTTTGAACAGCCACAGATGATCAGCTGCTGTCTGCCTGCTGACCAAATTGTTAAACATTACAGGATGTGTTGTTGAAATGCACCTGCCAGAAGGGCTGCCAATAAACTTTGCCATCTGACATCTGTCATAATGTGCTCTTGATTCTAACATAAATGCAGTGCATTCAACCTTGTGCGTTTTGTCTGTCAGAGTAGAAACTGTACAACTTTCAATTTCCTTTTTGTGCCTTCAAATGTGAATTGTGAAAGCTTATATTAAATTGAACAATCAGGGAAAAGGGGATCTAATCAACCAAAATGCATTTCTATGTCTAAACAGAATGAAATGCTAAAAGTATGTTTTCTTTCAAGTTTTGGATTTCCAATGGTGGATGGGCAGACATCATGACTGTGTTTGCCAGAACTGAAGTTGTTGATAAAGATGGTCAAAAGAAAGATAAGATCACAGCGTTCATTGTGGAAAGAGCATTCGGTGGAGTCACCAGTGGAAAACCTGAAGACAAACTGGGCATCAGAGGGTCAAACAGTGAGTTTGTACTTCATTTAATATTTTTTTGTACTTTAAATTGATGTTGAAATATATCTGTTATTCGAATGTTATTGCACATCAGATTTGTGTTAAATGACTTCCCCAAAATCTTTAGACCTTAAATACAGTTGTAAATAAATAAATGAATGTTCTATCCTTATATTTAAAAAAAAAAAACATGTTATGTGTTCGCTCTAAGCAGATTTGATTAGAGTAAAGTAAATTTTGGTGTAATTGTGTTGGTAGCGCAGTTGATTTGAAGTGTAAACACTGCCATCTGAACGCTGATTTACACCAACCAAGCTGAATAAGACCACTGCTTTCACACTAGCAATTTTGGTGTGCACCTGGGTTCGTTCGATATTAGAGTTCAGTTCATTTGGCTAATGTAGACACCATCTTCTGAGTCTTTCAAACTGCAGGCAATTGAACCAAATGTGAAGCACCCAAAAATTGGGCATCATTCCAGTTGTAAATGATCTCTTATTCAGGTCAACTGGAATAAAATGCAGCACAGATGTTGCATAAGTTAGCAAAATATGCATAATTAAAACTTTTTATTGTTTGCTAAGTGAGCCAGAAATAAGCATGCGAACACACCGGGACCAAGTTCATTCAGTTTTGCTTTAAATACATATTAACACTTTATTTTAAGATTTTTTTGTTACACATGTTGCATATGTAATTGCAATATTAAAGTAATTTAAATTAACAGCAATTAACCCTAAACCTAATCCATATTCTAACTTTATCCACATAGAAAATTGTATTACTACATAGTTAAATGAATAGTTACTTTAACAAGCACACCTTAAATAAAAAATAACTTTTAAAAGAAACCTAAATATCTTTTAACTTTGCATATGGTTATAATAAATACCATTTTAGCTTCTGTTTGTTTTATGCTTCGTCATTTCTTTTTATATTCTGGATATTTTTACTTAGTTTTTTGTGTACATTTTAATATTTGTGGACTAATAGAAATTAAAAGACATGTTTTTATAAATCATGTACATAAATGTCTCATGATTATGGTTTACTATTATTATTATTATTATTATTATTATTATTATTATTATTATTATTATATGGCCTATTTAACATGAGTTTTGATAATAAAATGAAAATATAATTATGCACATTATTTATTCGTGTACATTTACACCTTAGCGACTGAGATCACATTTGAAGACACAAAAGTGCCTATCGAGAACGTAATTGGTGAAGTTGGTGATGGTTTTAAGGTGAGTCACAAACAACCTGAAATATGATGCTTTTGATATGATGATGTGATGCTGATTTTGGCAAGTTTCCTTAAGGTCGCAATGAACATCCTGAATAATGGGCGCTTTAGCATGGGCGGTGCAGGTGCAGGGGTGGTCAAGAAACTCATTGGTGAGAACATGATTCAGTATTAGCTTACTCTATTATTACTGATCATGCATTAAAATGTAATTGATTTTCATGCCATGTCTCTCCAGAGCTGTCAGCAGAATATGCAGGCACAAGAAAACAATTCAACAGAAGGCTTTCAGAGTTTGGAATGATTCAGGTACATGTTACTTTATATATTGCATTGAAGTAGTCTGTAATTATTATTTGCTTCTTTTCTCATAAAATCAGCAAGTTAACTCATACAATTAATTTGGTGTAATCGGTGATTAGATGTTTAAAAAAGGCTACAGAACATACTGTCTTTGTTGTTTTCTTTAAGATTATATACGTATAAATGTATATTTAAAAACCTGAATGTTTAGTGGGTTTAATTCAATCTTAATTTTAAAAATATAGATTGTTTAAAGGGATCATTCAACCAAATACAAAATTATTGTATTTTGAAGAAAGCTAGAAGAAGATATTTTGAAGAAAGCTGTTATTTAATATTAAGAAATACTTACAGATTTCCAGCTTTCTTCAAAATATCATCTTCTGTGTTCAAAATTATGGATTTGAAAATATCAATTTAAACCATTTAATTGGTTACATTTGTTTTAATTGATTGACAGCACTAGTTTGCTCATTTGTTTTGTTTTGCTTTGACACAGGACAAGTTTGCCACTATGGCCCTGAATGTGTATGTGATGGAGAGTATGGCGTACCTCACTGCTGGAATGATGGACCGCCCTGGACTCCCAGACTGCTCTCTGGAGGCCGCGATGGTCAAGGTGAAGCAACCCACAGACATCATTATTTCAACGTTCTCTTAATATAAATGAGTAACAACCCAGTGGTGCTTTTACTGATGCTCCGCTGTGATTCTCCAGGTCTTTAGTTCTGAGGGCACCTGGATCTGTGTGAGTGAAGCTCTGCAGGTTTTAGGAGGTCTGGGTTTCACTAAGAACTACCCCTACGAGCGCTACCTCAGGGACTGCCGCATCCTCCAAATATTTGAGGTAGAGACGGATGGCCATACATGATTTATTCTACCCGTTAGGGTTAGAGTCAGGGTCAGGGTGCGAATTACAGGGGGGTCTAGGAGGCTCTGACCCCCCTAATTAACAGTTGATCCCTCCTAAAGAACATCATAATAAGATGTTAGGGGGGGGGTCTACTCTTTAATAGTTTGCTCTGTATCTTAAAAACGATTAATAGTTAAAAGAATACATAGCTTGCATATACATTTGCCCACTTCTATAATGGTTTGTACCATTGTGAATGCCTGTTTGCGGCAAAAATATTAATTCAAGCAGTTTTTCAGCAGTTTTGGCAAATTTTGAGAACACAGAACACAGCGTAAGTGTTCACAAAACATGTTTCTTTAAAGGGACTTTGAAAAAGCTCAGATTTATTTTAGCAAATTCACTTTGTATACATTTATTGTTGTAGAGTAAGCAGAAGTTTCGGATCAACTTCCAAGACCACATAGCAATATCCTAGCAACCACATAACAATCTGTCTGGGGAGCATTTGACTTTGAGCTTTTAAAGCGTTCTTAAATGAAAAACTTTGTAAAAATTCAAGCTCATAAACTTTAAGCTTTTGAATCTGCTTATATACTTTTATTCACTTAAAATCACAACCAAGGCACAATGTATTTGTTTTAAGATACAGTAAAAAACTACTATAATAATCCAAATGTCTTTTTGTTCTGTTTTAATATATAGTTAAGTTATAATTGAAATGTAAATTCAATAATTCAATGGCAGAAATATATTTTCAAATACAGAGCTAGTAGATTAGTCTTCAGTGTCATATGATCAGTTCGAAATCATTCTAATGTTGTTTTTGTTTTGTTTTTTGTGAATTAAAAAAAAATTATAATATTAAAAATGCCTTTACTGCCACTTTTGATCAGTAAAATATTTTTTTCTTACTTATATATATATATATATATATATATATATATATATATATATATATATATATATATATATATATATATATATATATATATATAATGCCTCAAACCAATGTATATATAATGCCTCAAACTCCAAACTTTGAAATTTCAATTATGAAAGAGATATACTTTATAGATAATTAATTTAATTGACCAAATTGTTAGTAGCAGTGGTGGTAGTAGTAGAAGTAGCAGCAGTAATAGTCATAATAATAGTAACAACACTTTTTACATAGTTTTAACCACCAGGGGGCATGTTGATCCAATCATACAGCACCAGCATCAACGTGCAAAAACAATTACTTGAGAAACACATTATATAATACTTATTCTTTTTTTTTTTCTCTGCTTTTAGGGCACTAATGAAATTTTGAGGATGTACGTCGCACTTACAGGGATGCAGTATGCTGGCAAAATATTAACTGGAAAAATAAAGTATGTCTGGAATATTCACATGAACAAGTGGATTTCATCCTTGTCCTAATTCATTCTTCTAACATACGATACTCTCTTCTCACAGGGAGATGAAGAAAGGAAATTTAGGCGTGGTGTTCGAGATTCTGGGGAAGAAAATCAAGGACACAGTGCAGACGGCAGATTTTGGGCTCACCGGCAAAGATGGTGTTGTTCATCCCAGTCTGACGGTACACTCTACTGCTGCTTGTGCTCAGAATGGCTGTAGTCTGTCAGAGTTAAATGATTCTGGGTTCTGGAGTCACAATTATTGAAATTTCTTTTTTAATACAATATAATTCCTTCTTAATTCTGTTAAGAAAACTTTACGAAACAAACAAAGATTTGTATGAATTCATTGCTGTATTCATGACTGATAGAGGGGTTGGAGAATGAAACTGAAACACTGGCCAATTTAGTGTTGAAGGTTTCATGGCTAACTCGAACATATCAGAGTTCTAAAGAGGACAAAGTGTTGGTGTGCGTCTCGTGCGTATCACCTGTGACCAAGACAGCAAGTCTTTCAGTTATATCAAGACCTCTGCTATGCAAGGTAAACTCAGCATACCACCAAGTAGGACGAACCACATCAAAGATGCAAGAGGAAGCTGTCTAAAAGGGATGTCGAAGTGCTAACTCAGATTGTATCCAAAAAAAAAACATAAAACCACAGCTGCCCAACTTACTGCAGATTTAAATGTGCACCTCAACTCTCCTGTTCCTACCAAAACTGTTTGTCAGGAGCTCCACAGTGTCAATATACATGGCCGGGCTGCTATAGCCAAACCTTTAGTCACTCGTGCCACTGCCAAGCATCAGTTTCAATGGTGCAAGCAGTGAAAATCTCAAGCTTTGGACAATGTGAAACATGCATTGTGTCCACATTCACTCGCTTTCCCATATCCGGGAGAGTTAAAGTGTGGAGAAACCCAAAAAAAAATCGTACCACCTAGACTGTTGCATGCCCACAGTGATGCATGGGGGTGGATCAGTGATGGTTTGGCAATATTATAGCATTCCCTAGGCCCAATACTTATCCTAGATTGGCGCATCACTACCAAGAACTATCGAACCATACTGGAGGATCATGTTCACCCAATGGTTCAAACATTGTATCCTGAAGGGGTGCCATGTATTGGGATGATTGCACAAATACACACAGCAAGACTGATGACAGAGTGTTTGATGAACATGAAAGTGAACTTGAACATCTCCCATGGCCTGCACAGTCACCAGACTGAATATTATTGAGCCACTTTGGAGTGTTTTGGAGGAGCGAGTCAAGAAAGGTTTACTCCACCAGCATCACATAGTGACCTGGCCACTATTTTGCAAGGAATGGCTCAAAATCCCTGTGGCCTCTGTGCTGGACTTATATCTGTCATTCTCGAGACGAATTGATGCTGTATTGGCCGCAAAAGTAGGCCCTACACCATACTAATGAATTACTGTGGTATAAAACCAGGCGTTTCATTGTGTGTGTGTGTGTGTGTGTGTGTGTGTGTGTGTGTGTGTGTGTGTGTGTGTGACTGTGTGTTGTGTGTGTGTGTATATATATATATATATATATATATATATATATATATATATATATATATATATATATATAGTGTATTTATTGTGCGTATATATCTATTACTAAAAATTAGTTCAAGGCAACATGATTAGCCTTCCTGTGAAATGTTATTTCTTTTGAAAATATTTCCCAAGTGCTGTTTATTGGTGAAGTTTTTTTTTAACACATTTTTTAAAAAATAGCTTTTTTTAATAACTTTAAAAAAATATATATTATTATTTTGATCACTATTCATAATATTTTACTAGTTAATGTACTAGTATTCAGCTTGAAGTTTAATTTAAATGCTTAGCTAGGTTGACTGGTTAAGCTAGACAAATTCAGATAATTAGAAATTGTACGTTCATAACAGAGAAATAATAATAAGACTGGCTAAAAGGATTAATTTTTCAACCATACAAGACTGCTGATCTTTCTGGATCAAATACAGATTTGATTGTACTGCTGTGATGGTCAAAGATTTAACAAACATATGCAAAACATTATCATTTAGAAATAACTTGCAAAACTGCAATATTTTAATGATTAATTGAGCAGCTTATCATATTATACAGTAAAACCACACCAGTGGTCATAAAACGAATGTGCGTCATGGTACTAACAGCAGCGTAGGGATGTCCAGTAAAAGCCCTGTCAGTCTGATCTGACCTGCTTCTCCTGCCAGTGACATTTCATCATGCGGGCTCCTTGCTTCTGATCTGCCCTTTAAAGTCATGTGGCCAAGTAATTGAGACCAGCTCCTTTTCAGCACACTGATGATGTCATGTTTCTCCCACAGGAGAGCGCCAAAATGTTTGAGCAGAACGCTGCATGTTTTGGCTCCACTGTTGAAGGTTTGCTGTACCGATATGGAAAGGTAATGTTTTGCATAAAATTGTTGTATTATTTAATTAGTTTTTTTTTTTTTGCATTCAATTGAATTTTATTTATACATTTTACTGGATTCATTTAAATTTTTACAAGTTGACTACTTTTTTTTTTTTTTTTTTACAGGATTTATTTATTTTTATATATTAAGCTGTTTTAACTTTGAATGAATGAAATTGTTGTTGTTTTTAGTAGTATTATAAAAATATTAGAAGAATCAAATTTATTTTACTGAATTTATTTTTACAGATGTATATATTTCATAGAGATTTTTAAATTAAAATTAAGTTTTGTATGTGCAGTCATGTTAAAGGGCCATGAAACCCCCCTGTCTTAGCATGGTGTTTTCACACCAAAAAGTCAGGAAAGTGGGTGAGATCAGCTTTGTTTAGGTGGGAGGGGAGAAAGAGGAAAGGGTTTGCATGAAAAGGGGAGTTTCATTACATGCACTACAGCTGATTTTCACAGCAGCAACACAAACACATGCAGGGCAGATAGACAGTGACTACGTTTACACAGATGTCAGTAATTGAATTATTCACCTTAACCTGAATAAGACAGTAATATGATTAAGGAGTTTACATGAGTTGCTTTTCGAATGTTCCTTTCACGATCCCCTTTTTACATGTTATAGCACATAATACCATTAATGTCATTGTGTCACCACGCTATCCACTTTTCCTCTGGAGTTTTATGTCATTTTGGGTGTTTTATTTTTAATTAGTTGACTTTAACTGCAGTTTGGCACTTTCACTATCATTCAGAAACATTTCATGCATGCCCCCAATGACAAACAAGATATTGGATGAGAGTATGAACTGCTGGAAGAGTGTTGTTTTAATCTAATTTTTGATATCACATGCCATATGGGAGAAATAAAACCTCCGCATTTCTTGGTAGATGCAGACACCAACACCAATCATCACCAACTGGTAGCGCGTCTTTTTTAAAAGAAGATGAGTAGCAAATCCATTATGCTATCTAGTAGCAAATAGATGCGAAAAGCTCTCCGGTAAAATATTTTCTATACAAGCATATATTTTTGTCGTGGGTTAGCAGACCACTGTAATCCACACATGTGGGTCTATATGCTATCAGTGCTCACAACACGGGAAAAATCGAAACTAAACTTTAATTAACTTTAATTTATAATCGCAGCACTGGCTACCCATGTCTCCGAACAATTCTTCTTCTTTCACTTGTTTTAATTACAGTTGGCAATACAACGTGGCGTCTCTCTGAACACTGTAACAGGTAAACAGTCTTTGAAGCTATATCATGCAAATTAATGAAGTTGCACTTCATTTACAATAGAGTGCGCTGATTAGTTCAAACCAAGTCTTTCTCATGAATTAAAGCTGCAAACTTAAAGTAGTCACTTTGTACCGGATGGTACAGACATCCAGCTTCCATGCTGGAATTTACACAAGGATCTCATGGCTGTGACGTAGCTTCAAAATTTCTTTTCAAACCGGAAGAACGAATTTGTTCGAAATAACGAAAAAACAACCCATTTTCAATTTTTACTGAAATATGTGTATAATAGTGTTTTTAGCAAAGTGGGAGCAAAACATTTTTTTATGGTTTTGTATTATTAATTAATTATTTTATTTAGTAATTATTTAGTAATATTGAAACCTTTTTAATGGATTATTTAATTTTCAAATAATGGCATTGGCTTTATTAATAGTAATAATAATAGTAATATGTTAATATTTTTTTACACATATTTACTAGTGTTTGCAGATCATTTAATATTTTAAAACTTAATATTAAATGTTATATATTGGTAATTTTACATCAAATGGGGTAATTGAAATAGCAACTGCGCTTCATTTGTACAGATTTATGTTCCACTTAAAAACAAAAAGTATTTGATTTTATTATTAATATAACATTTTTATATATTATGTTCACTTGTTTTACAGCTTCTTTAAATTACATTTTAAGTTTGATTTAAGTTATAGAAGTAAATGTAAAATTAAAATATGAAAAAATGCATGACAAAAGTAAACTAAAAAGTTTAATATTTGCTATTACTTATTAATTTTTTTCGCCCCATAAATGTCACATTTTCCCAAACAATCATTTTTGACATAGAGTTGGTGCACATTCCTTAAGTAGTGCCAGAAAATAAGAAGTTACCATTTGTTTAGCTTTTTTTTTTTCGATTGGTTGCTATCGTAATAATGCACAAGGTAATTAGCGTGGGCCGCTAGCGCTGCTGGGACTCGTCTCTGGTCCCTTCTTTCCTGCTGAGCTGAGGTAATGTTCATGTGTGACACAGCTGGACTCACTCTCTCTTTTCTCAATGAGTGTCTGTGTGGCCATGCTATTGTAATCAGCCTGCAGTCACTAGAGAGCAGCCTGGAAGGGTTTCAGATTTCCACACACTTTTTTTTTTTTTTTTTTGGAGCACACTAAATTCATCTTCATTCATTCGTTCTCATTTGCAGGAAACTTTTAAAAGAATCAATCCCCCCCGTCACAGTGTTTTTGCCTGCATGCTGTGTAAAAAGCAAACTCTAGAAAGGCAGGCACAGGATGTGTTTTTTCCAACAATTTGGGTATTACTGTCAGGACGCACGTGATTTGTCCTACTTTGAGTGACCTAGATCAACTAAAACAGATATTTAAACAGAATGTGCAGTTCTAGATATACATAATTACACATCTAATAAAAAATACACAAAACATGCTTCTCCGCAAAAGTTAGACCAGCATTTCGATTAATTCTGCTGATGAGAATGAGGTTTTGCAGAGATGCTTTCAGTCTAATTCTCGTAATGTTAAGACATTGTGAGCTAAAACGTATCTTTACCCTGTTCAGATCTTAACTGGTGAGCAATTTTAATGGATTCTCCATTCAGAATCTTCGCAATGTCCTGTCCTTTTGCGCATCTGTCTTTCGTGGACGACCAGACATTCTGAGGGTCTTTGCGACATTATAAACATGGAATATTCTAGAAATCACATATAGTAATTTTAAAGGACCGCATCTTCTTTCTTTTAGTCATTCCTTTTGGCCTTCATCTGGACAACCTGCTGTCAGAGGCTTTCAGTTACTTTAGAATGGCTTACTATGCCTGTCACAATAATAAAATAACAAATAATAAGATGAAATAGAACTTTCATAATCTTTGAAACTCCCTTGCCAAAAATTATTTTAAACTGTTATACGTTTAATTATTTCAAACTGTAAAACTGTTGTAACTTGGTGTGTTTCAGACAATTGTCGATGAGCAGCTTCTGTTGAAGAAAGTTGCAGATGTGTTAATTAACCTCTACGCCATGACAGCCGTCCTGTCCCGCTCCTCTCGCTCCATCTCCATCGGCCTGCGCAACCATGACCATGAGGTAACAGACTTTTAACCCTTCCTCACTGAGGTCACAAGGTCAGCTTCAAAACAAGCCACACTAAAACAGTGCTTGACTTCCACCTGGAAACCAATACTCTGTTTTGAGACTTGCCTCAAGACATCAACTCTTTGTTCAGTGTTAAAGAGACAGTTCACCCAAATGCTGCAAATGTACCCTCAGGCCATCAAAGATTTACAAGACTTCTTTTTTTTGTAGTAGGGCCTTAAAGGGCACCTATGATGAAAATAATCTTTTGTAAGCTGTTTGGACAGAACTGTATGTATGTATAGTGTCCACAGTCATATTGGGGTCATATAAAGACAAAACAACTTTTTTTTTTCTTTCCCCCCTGACGTTAAAATAGGATTTAAATCCTTCTCATTTTAAAGATGTAGGAGTGTGATTTCCTCGCCCACTAATTTGATTGATAGCCGTGTTTTTAACATGTCTCCATAGTAACGCGTATAATCAACAAGCAACTGGAATAAAAAGATCTGTTCAGCTCTCTGTGATCATCAGTCATCATCAAATGTGATCAAGAATGAGTTTTACAAGTTTAATATGTTTCTAAAATAGTGCATGTTTGTCATGAATTGCATTCATTTTACTGTCTTTATCACCACAGCCGCTTTAATCCCCATTTGTGGATGGGTTTATTTTATACATTAACAAAATAGATATCCATACAGCAGTGGATATCAACATGCATGCTGTCACATTTGTGTGCAAAAGCAGTACAAAGTTAAAGAGTGCGCTGTGTGTGTGCGCAAGAGCTTTGTAACGGCTATGTGTGTGACTCGTCTTTGCAGAAAGGCTTGAATTAACTAAAGATCTTACTGTAGTGTTTCTCACAAACTTTATGTGAGATCTGCTTCCTTCATGTCTGTCACTGTGCTGTTTATCTGACTTAGCTGGAGATTGAGGCACACTCTGACAGGCACATGGGAACATTGGGCGAGGAGAACTACCATAAAAGGCACATGGAAAAAAACAGCTACAATGTGTTCAGTGTTCAGAGTAGAGAATTCTTATGTTCCGAAAGGTATAATAAATAATCTGATGAATGTTTTGAGCTGAAACTTTACAGACACTCTGGAGACACAAAAGACTTATCCTACATCTTGAAAATGGGGTAAAATAGGTGCAAAATTAAAATTCGGTGGTGAACAAGCATAGATTAGGAAAGAAATTGATCATTTGTTTCAGTGTGAAGCTTAACTTTTAGGATTCAATTTGCTTGTAAATGCTGTTATGTGACAAATAATGAATTTCTTCTCAGAAGTGGATTGATCCGGGGAGGCATTTCAATATGCTGAATTTTAATTCATAGCAGCAGGGCTGTTTTGATTTTGCATGAGAGAAACAATTGACGGAAACAGTTTAATGACTTCTCATGCTGTGGCTGCATTGCTTGTGTGCATACATATTGACTTATCCAATACATCAAATATTATATAAGATTATACACATTTCATATTTTTTACTCCCATCAAATCTCTATTTGTCAAATTGTTCTCAGGTCACTGAGTGTACAATGATTTTGCCAGCAAAAACCTCATTATCAAGGAAACTTGCTTGCACGTTAATTTCGAATCATTAATGTAAACGGCCTTGTTAAAACTTTCAGGTGCTGCTCACCAACACTTTCTGCAAGGATGCTCATTTCAAGAACAACTACATGTTGAGTCAGCTTCAAAGATGTGAGTAAAATGCACAGCTGTAATTGATTCCAGCCGCCCTCGTTTTATTGCATAGCAAGACAAAGCGCTTGCACATGTTATAGAATTTCCTCCACAACCTTACAAACCATAAGTCAGTCGCTAACACTCGCATGCTCTCTTCATACTGTTCCAATTACTGCCTGTCTAAGAACTCCAGTCAATGCAATGCCTCAGATCAGAGTGTTCAGATTCGGTCAATGGATTTGGGTGTGTTTTCCACAGATTCCCCAGAGAATGATGATGCCAACATAAAGAAGATCGCCCAGGATGTCTTAGCCAAGAGGGCATATATCTGCTCACATCCCCTGGAAAGAACCTTCTGACGCACACTTGTGTCTTAGTTTTAACCCAACAGAAGTGCTTTGATTATTAAATATACTTATGTTTCTCACAATATGCAGTATTAATTAAGCCTCATACTGTAATGAAGTAGTCCTTTTATATCAGTATGTCCCAATTTAAAGGCTTTTGCACACTCAGTGCATCACAGCAGCGCATTGAAGGCCGTCCCATTTGGAAACATATCCTCAAAATGTGTCTTTTGTTTCCTGGGCCACTGATGACATTTGTTGTGCACAGGAAATAACAGGTGTGTTGTTTTTTATTTTTAAATGTAAGTATTAGGTATCAACTTGCTTATATCTAACAGTTCTATGTACAAAAAAAACAATATTAAATGTTAAAAAACATTACTAAGTTGCAATTTTATAGATCTTTCTTATTGGTCATGTACACACTATAGTTTTAGGAGCGATGGCCGTATTTAAATATACAGAAGTGAATTGCCTACTGCTTTTTTAAAGTTTTTACACACGACTAACACTCAAAATTGCATGATTGACCAATAGAAAGCACAGCACATTTGATATTTATGTCTCGCGTAGTATTTTTGACTAAAGTTATCTTACAGTGATCAAATGAATGTATTTAATGCCATTAATGAAGTAAGCAGGTTGGGATTATTTTGGTATGTAACTTATTCCAAGTTAACTAATTTGGGTTTAATTATTAAGACCTTTTTATTATTTGCTTTTTTTTAGCAATATTTGGCAACCTGAATGAGTCAATATATACCAGTTTTTTTGTGATTTTTGTATTATTATCTTGCATCACACATTTAGAATAGAGACAACTCTGATATACGTCTTAATGCATCACTAAGAACTCATCACAAAAATAGGTGTGTAAATTGTGTAGAGCTTTTGTTAGTGTTTTATGACATACAGTATTTTAAACGAGTTGTGTATGTTACTTGAATGTGTGATTGAAGAAACAAGGTACTTGACTGATTTTTGTAGCCAGATCTTTATGGTTTAAAAAATAAGACGCAATTAGAACTCATAATAATTAATAGATCAGTTTTTCCCACTTTGTTTATATTTGTCTATTTTCTACCAAACCTTGTAAACTGCAGTTTTTTTGTTTGTGTCAAAATAATGACCGTAAAGATCTTTTGTAACTTAAATCCAAACACGTTAAAATGCAAACCAAATTGCTTGATTAACTTTATATGCAAGTCAAATGTGCAAAGTAAGCATTGCTTATAATAAGTGTACTTGGCAGCATTTTGACTGTGCCCCTGAAACAGCCTTAGAAACATAAACAAACCAAAGTGGTTTTGCCAACTGTGGTTTTCTTAAAATCATCGAGCCTTTGTCACTGTAATTTTATTTTAGTCAAACGTTATTTTTACGTGATATTTATGGAGTCAATCTAGGGCCATATGTACTTGTCACATAAAAGAGTTTTGCAAACAAACAATTGAGCAAAAGAAATTTTAAAAATAATGCAAATCTCAAAAATTCACAAAGGGAAAATTTAGTTTTGAGAAATAAAAAAGAATGTTGCAAACAAAAATAAAAATGAAGCAGTGCAAAAAAAAAAAAAAAATATATATATATATTTGTAATTTTAAAAAATTAATTCAGTTATTTTACTTAATCTCGGTTAGATTTATGACAGCGATTTATGGCAGATTTTCTTTGTGTCTCAATGTCTCCAGCTGATGATGTCGCTTCATAGGAGACAGGTCGGGGCATTCCGTACACGCCCCAGTTCCTGTGATACCGTCTCCTTTTCAAATCAGGGCCAGAAGGTGAAACGCACAGAAATGTGAAGTGCAAAAAAAAAACACCATCGCAAACTCGCGCTTGACTGAAAAGAAAAATCAAAATCAGCATTGCAATTATTATTTTTTAATTATTTAATTATTATTTTTATAAGTAATAAATATATTATTTTAGTCAAAACATTATTATTACGTGAAATCTATGGAGTCAATCTATACTTGCCTATATATATGGGCCATATATACTTTTAAAAGTTTTGAAAACAAAATAAAGTATTAAGCAAAAAAATGTGAAAAATTATGCAAATTTAAAAGTAGAACAGAACTGCAAATAAAAATCAAGCAGTGCAAAAACGAGTTACATATTTGCAATTTTAAAAAAAAGATTATCATATATTTGCTAAACATTGTTTTCCAATATTGCCTTTACAAAACCTCTCAAGTCATGTGCAATGCTCATTTCTATTTGCGTGTTTTACTGTTTGACGATTAAAAAAATTGCAAATATTATTATTTTTTTTTATTTGCAGTTCTTTATTAATTCTTTTTATTTCTCAAAACTCAATTTTCTCTTTGCGATTTTTTTTTTTATTTTATTTTTTATTTCATTTTTGAGATTTGAAATATTTTTTAATTCTTTGATCAATGCTTTATTTTTTGTTTGCAAAACTTTTTTATGTTGCAAGTACATATGGTCAGATTGACTCCACAGATATCAATCATTACAATTTAGAAAATCATTCATGTTTGGAACACACAAAAGTACAATTTAAGCAATTCACTGTCAAATGTCACTCCTAAAACAACAGTGTGTATGTGGCAAATGGGCCATGGTGAACATACTTTAACAGGTACTTAAACTGTTTTCAGATGAGTGAATATTACTTCAAGCGAATCAAAGTGATTTTTAAGCTATACGTTTATAGCACATGTAGGGTGACGTCTTTGTTGGTTCTTATCTCTGTGATGTTTCTGTTAAGTTTGAAGTAGTCAGTTACAAAGGGTGTCTCTGGGGCTTCAGCAGATTTCTGGTAGCAGTGTATTCTTTTCTCTTCATCTGTAAACGGTAACACACTTCGCTTGTGCAGGAATGAATGAGGCCTCCAGTAATCTCTGTTGAAAATCCAAACATTGTTAAAATCAGTGCAGTTTTGTTGCAAGGTGGTTCCTTTTTCTCATTTAGGCACTCACAAAACACTTCCATGAAGTTAACGTTTCTATCGGTAGTCTGAATCGTTTTCTTTTGTTCGTTTTTCCAAGTTGTAGTACAGTATTTTAGCTGGAATTAATTATTAAAAGATTGCAAATGAAAACACTAGGATGATTTCTAACCTAAAGTGGAATTTGCTGTACTGGGATGAGTATCTTGGAATGGCGTTTTTGTCCCAGCTCAGACTGTGGTTCTGAAAGGGTCCAGGAGTAAATGGAATATTGGCCTCCTCCTCTGCTGAGCCAGTCATTTCAGAAAGCTGGACCACAGAAATAACGGGAATGGGCTGAAGAAAAAAATAGGATAAAGTCATGAACAGCAAACTTAAATCGTTTTAAAGTGTACTGTTTGTCAAGAAAATATGCTGGGGAGACGTCAAAGCCTTTTTTGTTGTATAATTTACTCTAAAAATGAACCGAATTAAAATTTGAAAACTATGTTTGACTGTTGTTTGTACTATGATGTTTTTGAAATTCACCTTTAAAGCCATTCCTGGCCTCCTGAGAGAATATTTCATGGGTTTGTCCTTCAGTATGTCTTGTAGTTTATCCAGGTTGGCTTTCCTCATGTGACATCTGAACTCGGGAACTCTTCCACTTCCTGTTGAAGTTTCACCAAGCAATATCTTCCTTAGCCATCTGTTGTGCTGAGCACGTGCAGCCTGAATCTGCTCCTCATAAAGAGACTCTCCTGAGCAAAATACAAGGTAAAAAAGTTCCTTTAGTATCTGATGAATGCTGACAAATGTTAAAGCCTGTGTGAAATTGTGCAATTTACAGTTTATTTTGCTAGCACACAGTATTAAGCTGAACAATTGATTTGTGCGAGTTAATTGTTTTGGTAATCATTTGATAATCAAAATCAGCATTTGGAGTGGCAGTTTTTCCCTGTTGAGGTCCGTTTAATGGCTTCAGCCACAATAATCTTAACCATGCCCCTCTTTTTCTTAGTTTGCTAATAGGGAATGATGTGCATAAAGAAAGCACCGCACCTACTCAATATTTTGTTTTAGTTAAAAGTACATCAACATGACAAGGCCCACCCCTTACTGATGAAGGTCCAGAATTTGTCCCATGCATGCGCTCATTATTCTTATTTTGACTGCTATGCCATCATAAATTGCGAAAATAAAATTTTTAAAAAATCTTTAAGACCAAGCAGAATCCTCTGTTGGGTGTTGCTTTGGTTTGACTTCAGCTAATCAGTTTTGTCCTATACAAAGAAATATTTTTGCTTAATATCCAACGTCCAGCTGCACTAAACATACAATCTGAAATAAATGAAGTCCTCTTTTTAAAGAGAAAACATTTTACAAAAAACTTTTATTCTAAATGTTGGACCTTATTCTTGAAAGAAAAAATGACGAGTAAAAAGGTGTGAAGCACTGAAAGTGGGCCATATTATAATCAATTTGAGTACTATTTTGGCTATCATGGTTATCCACAAATTTTCAAATATACTTTTTTTTTACTAGAGAGGCTAGAAATATTGTAAACCTCTAAATTATTATTGTGTTTTAATTTTTTACTATTCAAATGGCCAGATTCTAACAATAGGCTACTTTTTTATTTAAAAACATTTTTTTCTAATGATATATTATGTAATTTGTATTTTAAAAAGAAAGATTTTTTTCATTTCTCTACATTCTAAATATTTAGGAAATATTTTGGTACATCAAAAAGTGTGGTTATGATGGCCATCTAATGAGCTAATCCAGCCGAAAATGCAGTATATAAATCTCATAATTAAATAGAAAATGAGGCGTATAACTTCAAAAAGTTCCACTTTTTGAGAAAATAGAACCATGCCTTACACCAGGTTGGCTACAGGCCTGATGACTGTAAAAAGTCTCAGTAATTTTCAGTTTACACAGACTTGAATTATTACATAGCTTTCTGGAATACTTCATTCAATTCGTTAATCACTATAAAAAATAAATAAATAAAAAAAGTTGTCAGACTTGACTTAAAAATTTCTGCAAAATGTAAACGATAAAAAGACAAAATCGTGAGATATAAACCTCAATTCCGAGTGTGCATTATAAAATTCTGATTCATAATTGCAACACTGTCTCACAATTGTAAAATTTATAACTCTAAATATAAATAGATGTGAAAAATTCCCCATTGTGAAATCAAGCAACCGTAATCTTGCATGTGTTTAGAAGTTCAAGTTCAAGTTGCTTTATTGGCATGAAACTCTATACAGTATTGCCAAATAAAAAATAATAATAATAATAATACAGTAAATAAAACTTAAATGACAACAAACAAACAAACAGATAATATCAATAGATAATCCAATGAAAAACCAATGCAGTACATTTCAAAAATATTCTGTGTGAATGACCGTTCGTTTAAAAAAAAAAATGATATACAGTTGAAATTATATCAACATTTCTCTCAAATCAATAT